TTGAAACCCCGAAAACATCTTCAATTAGCCATCGGCAATCTACTGTGAGCGTTCTATCGGCGTTACCTCACCCTCTCTTCGCCAACATGAAGTACCTCGCCACCATGAACCTCGTGCTAGCCCTCGCCCCAGCGGCCCTCGCACGCGTCGCCTGCTGCTTGGCACCTCCTGCCGCGGGCATTGCACCAGATCGGTGCCGGCAATCCGATACCGAACCCACTTGCGTAAGATGACCATGTTTAGAAGAAAGCACTTCAGGTACTCGACCTCTGACTTTTATTTCTAGTGTTCAAAAAATACCTTTGAGAGCTGCGCAGGTCGAGGCACTTTCAGATGGGCTTTTGTCTATCCGAATTTTGGGTGTTGGGAATCGAACCTGCGGTAGATAAGGCAGCTGGTTGCTGCATGCACGAGCTTGGATTACACGGCTGACTAAGCCGTGTGGTCCGAGCTCTAGCTGCTGCCTTACTGCCGACCTCCCTCCACCTCCATAGAACAACAAGAACAATCACAATCATTTCAACTCGTTGCAACGAAGGTGATTCCGATACCTTAGCCGTATCAACATTGGGGATCCAAGCATCTATTTCCCTTGCATAGGTGGTGGACAAGCTCGCTGTGTTACAAAGGGTGCGGGGATACCTCCTTCTTGATCAAGCAGCTGGATAAGGGGGTTTTCCTAAGCCGTATGTGGTTTCTATTCAGGAGAGGAGAATTTATTTCAAGTGGGATGGGCTATAGATACATAAAATGCGACCCACCTAGCACACGTTCCTTTGCGAAGCGGCTTCGCTCAGAATTCATCCCTTTCCTCAACGGACTGCATTAGCAGAATGTCGCCTCCTTCTCCTTCTTCTCTGTACCAGTCTCCCTCAAGCTGTTTCAATTCCACAGTCTCTACCTCCAGAATATCGGGCTCGTATTTTGCCTCATCAACACTCGCCTTCCTCCAGCTCTCTTTGGCTGTCCACTGCGGCACGTCGGACAGTCTGAGGTTCTCAATATTCCTACTGTGCAGCCAACGATAAGAAATTTTACAATATTGCAGGGCACATATCCGCTCTCCAGGCATGACAAACTGCGTCTTTTCTCCATCCAGAACTCTCCTACTTGCGGTCACAGCAGGATCGGCGATGTTACTAAGTGGGAAGACAGGACTAACGGCTGCGATTGACAGCCCAACAGGCAGAGTTACCTCACCCATCGCTTGGTGTCCTTCGATTGACTCGTATATTGTAAGGGGCTGCGCAAAGTATGCCGGTGCCTGGTAACAGGATTGTATTCGATGAAGAAGAAAGCTATCTGCAGTGCAACCAGTGATCGGAATGGTCTGGTCTGGTCTGGTCTGAGGGTACAGACCAGACCAGACCAGGTGCTTACATAAGGACCGGTCCGACCAGACCGGTCCGACCAACAAGACCGCCAAGAATGAGGCTGAAGCAAAGAAGGAAGCCGAGGAAATGTGTTTTACTACTGACTGTCAATCTAGTCGTCTTCGTTCTCACTATCCTCGATATCGCTGTTCCCCTCAGCTTGGGGCTTTCCATACCAGGCCCGGAGACACTCGCACGCTTCTATAATATCTGCCTTCAGCCTACCACGGCGATCGACGATAGTAAGCTTCGCGCTACTAAAAAGACGTTCGCATTCATCCGACATAGGCGAGATCGCAAACATGTCTAGAGCGAAGCGAGCGAGATCTCGTTGGGAGTCGTAGCGAGATAGCCAGTACGCAATAGCCTCATTGCAACCTGCCTCTTCGTTATGAAGCCGGTCAGTAGAGATGTATTGTTCATACAAATCAGTTGTAGAAACTGGAGCGTCTATTCGAATGCGCTTATGTTCCCGCTGGCGATCAAATGCTGGGTCAGGATCTCTCTCCTTCCTGGCTGGTGGTGGCAGCATCTCGACAGGGTACCTTCCCTTATACTCTGTCTCCCAGAGATGCTTCACCGCTAATTGTGCGTTTTCAAACCACCTCTTCTTCTCTTCGTCGCCATGAAGAACCCACTCTTGCCTGAACCATCCCCACTTGCGATATGGATCAAGGATTTGAGCCGCATAATATGCCGGTGGAAGGTCAGTATCTTCAGGGAATCGATTTTGCCAATTCAGCTGCTGATTGTTATAGTACTCAACGCACTTTAACCAAGCAGCATCAGCGCAGCCTTGAAGGTACTTCCATGTAAAGTTGTTATCGTCCTCAGTGTGGATGTCGTGGTAGTGATCCTTCGTCTCGCTTATCTCCCGGAGAAGGCAGTCCAAAGTTGAAAACCAGTCCGCAAGTGACGTCTTCTTACCTTCAGAAAGCAAAGTTGCAGCATAGAAGTCTTTGAGAGCGAGTTCAATCTTTTCAAGCTCAAACCAGTGCTGTCCATCAAGCTTAAAGTTCGCGATCCCTACGGAGCCCTTTCCAGGTACATGACGAGCCGAGAAGAGCTCTAAACGTTCTCGAACATTTAATGCACGTGTAATCGAATAAAACCATGAGTTCCAGCGGGTCGAGTTGTTCTGGATAAGCTCAAGCCCGTCGAATTGCGAAAGATCTCCGCCGATAATAATTGTAGCAAACTCCTCACGCCGTTGTGGAGTAAGCCTGATGTATCGCACCAGGTTGTGAAGACGACCCAAACATCCGAACTTCTTCCAGAGCTCTTCCACCTTCGTATAGTCGCCACGTTGATGATGCTTCTCCAGCTTCGCAAGATACTTCTCACAGTTTCGCCCCATAAGGAACGCCTGGCAACAGAGGTTGATGACATGGCCCAAGCAACGCAGCCGGCGATGACGACGTTGTTTTGACTTCATCCATGGGCAGAGATCCTTGAGTATAAACTCAACAGCGGTATCATTTGCCGAGGCATTATCCAGCATAAAGTATCCAATCTGATCTCCGCTAATGTCGTATTCTTCCAGCAATTCAAGGACCACCGATCCAAGATTCTCTCCAGTATGTTCGCCGTATATACGTCGCATACCTAAAGCGGTAACACGTCGCATGCCGGTAGTATCAATCCACATAGCGACGACGCCTAGGATAGCGTAAGGGTTTGGTGAAGTCCAGAGATCAAAGGAGATAGAGATCCTACTCCGTGAATGGTGTAGGTCCTCCCTAAGCTGTTGCTTCTTCGATATGAATGCATTCATTACCCAGCTTCGGATAGTCTTCGCAGCCTTCGGGAGGTGGTTGAGTAGTGCCGGATTTAAAAAGAGGAGTAGTTCACGAAAGTACTGGTTCTCTAATTGAAAGAAGGCGATATGGCAGTACACAATCCAACGAATTAGAAGCTCTTTAAACTTCTCTACTGACTCCTTCCAGAAAAAGATGCTGGAAGCAGCCCCATCCTTTTGCTGGTCGATTATAGACTTCCGTACAGAACCCTTTCGCTTGATGCCACTCTGGGGATCAATCTGGTGCTTCTGTTCCAGGTGATTCCGGATCCTAGAAGTGCCATTGATGACAAACAACTCTTGCTTGCTCTTCCCAACCCTGCACTCATGGCAGTAATACACCTCTTTCTTATCGCTATCTCGAATGTATTGGAGTCCGTACTTCCAGATGTGTGATGTACCTTGACGGAAATCCTTCCTTGCAATTATTGCACGTTTCACGTACGTGATACCGCCCTGCACGAACTCATCTGGAGATTCGTGATATTGAATAGGAGTGGGTGATAGTATAGGGGTGGGTGATGACGTGGGGATAGGAGATGGAGTAAGAGACGTTAAATCTAGTCTTATAATATTCGATGGGGACGGTGAGGTTGGTGTTGAAGGCTCCATAACAATAGTATATAAGTAGGTTGTTAAGGACTTGATTGTTCTATGTAAGTAGAAGACTTACCTTGATCTTAATGACTCATATTGTGCTAAATTTTCTGGCTAGATTAGTCTAAGATCTAGTCACGTGGACCTATTTATAGCCGGACCGGTCCGATCATCTAGACCGGTCCGACCACGGTCTCAAAAAATCGCCAGACCAGACCAAGTCTTGGCGGTCTAGACCAGACCAAGACCAAGTCAGACCAGACCATTCCGATCACTGAGTGCAACGATATCTATATACGTTTGGCTTGTTGTTCACGTAGCTTCTCGAAGCATCTAAAGTGCCGAGGAAGCTCCGAAGGTTCCACCGAGGATCACCATAGCATCTGGGCTCTAGCCCGTTACATATATAATGCGGGCGTCCGTCACGGTATGAAAGCCAACCACGAGGTAAATCCCATTCCCACCAATAGTACGCTCGATCCATCCCCTTGTATCTTCGAATTTGGTAGCCGCCATGAACTAAGCTGCTGAATTGTCCAATGTGTAGGTTTTAGCTGCGCTCGTCTTGATACGGATCGTGGTATTCGCTCGCTTTGAGAATCCCGATGATATGAGTGACGTCAATTTTGCTGTAAAGCCAGCGCTGTTTTCGCCTTGCAACACCCTCGCATACTGGCCGCGAACGATAAGTTCCTCTTTAGGAGCGTCTGGGTAGTGAGGGTCGTGAAAGTTGTGGGTAGGGAACTCGACGGACTTTACGAGACGCCCAAGTTTGACGGAATTTAGGGGAAAGGAAATATCCGAAGACACAATGCTGAGCGGCATCACTGCAGCGAGGAAGACGTCGAACAGCTTTCAACTGAGATGTGGTAAGAGTTGAAGAGAGCCGTGTGCGAGTTAAATGCCGCCCATCTTTCACTGCCTGCACAAGTGCCACGCCAGGTGCTCAGCCTCCACAGCTGAATACGAGGCGCGAGCCTAGACTGCACAACAGTACAGAGCAATCTCCACCACATGCACTGCCCGACTATAACAGCTGAGAGGCAGCAATGCTTGGCGTCACGTGCGCTGCTCTGCACGGGGATACGTGTTCTGAAATCTGGTTTTAGGCTTTTTGTGGATACCGGTTGAGGATATAACCGGCTTTGTTATGTCTTTTCTGTGGTACCCCTCTTATGTATTTTGGTTGATTTTGTAATATTAGTAATAACAGCTGAGAAGGCAGGCGGCAAATGAATTCATGTTGTTGCATGCTCACACAATACCTAGTTCCGCACCCATTCCATGGAACATTTGATGTGGCTAGATGCAATTTCTTACACGTCCTGGACGAGCATACAGCTACGGAAAGCGGCGAGCTATTATGACTCTCTGAGCAATTGTAAGATAATGCTCTCGAGCTAGCCGAGCTTCTGGCACGACAGTCGTACAAAGATATCGCACGCGCACATGCGGGGCGGTCTATTCAGCAAAACTGTGTGTATTAGTTGTCCCTGCTATCTACTATCTTCCTTTATCGGTGGTGTATAGCTATTGCGCTTTCTTGTTGAGGCAGTGCATCCTTGTTAGCGTTGCTGTGGCAGTGAATGCAGTCAATCAAAGTGTGTCCGCGCGAGGCCGTAATCAGATTATATTGTGTGTGTTGTCTGTTGTTGTGCTCACCTTTTACGAAGGCAGCAGCAGGGTCTATTTACTTGACGTATCACTATCACGTGACACACGTGATCCGCTTCTCCTCATAACCGTCACAGTTGCAGTGGCTTGCCGCCTCTGTTCAGCCGAAGCCGTTGCTTCTACAGTTTTGCAAGGGCTGCGATAGATGAATACTCTATACCTGCACTGGCAAATCAGATTTCATTAAAGTTGCTGTTGCCGGCGCCACAGGGTCGATCAAATACATATCTGCAGCGTAGTCTCCTGGTATACACAATTTCTAGATATTCAAGCTTATACGAAGCAAAATTATTCGATTCTCAGCTCGCTTGTCAAAGTGTTGTGGCGGCGGCTGTGCCTGTGTTGCAGGCTTAGTGTCTGACGTGGTGGAAACTAACTTTAAAGTATGTGGCTGGGATTTCTTCGGGGCCGCAGTTTCTAGGTAGCCCAACGTATTCATTTGAACACATAGATAAGAGCCGTTTTCCACGTATATCCTTTGCTGTTCAACCTCAACTTTCCATATGATGGATGAACGTACAGCAATGGAAGATCGGGCGTCACAGCTGAACGACAACGGAGTTTATCTTATGAGATTGTACCGCGAAACGAACAATATAGCTTACCTAGAAGAAGCTACTCAGACAGCACGGGAGGCTGTATATTCAACCGCAGAAGATTCTCCAAACCGACCAGCCCACTTGAGCAGCCTTGGTACCTGCCTTGAATCACAATACGTGGAATCATCCAATATCGATACCCTAAATGAGGCCATCGAAGTGTCAGCTTTGGCATTCAACTTGGCACCACAGGACGATCCAAATTGGGCGGCTATATCAGATAACCTTGGAACAACGCTTCTTCGCCGACATAAGCGAACAGGAAAACTGGATGATCTAGATGCTGCCATCAAAGCATCGCAGCAGGCTTTCAACTCAAATGCAGGTGACGATCTGCGACGGGGAATCACATCTTCAAACCTCGGGGGTCAGCTCGAAATTCGGTACGAGCGAATGATGGAGATAGCTGATCTCGAGGCGGCTATACAGGCCACTAAGAAGGCCATCGACCTGATTCCAGACCCTCATTAACGTCAAAACACCTTTTGGGACAACCCTGGAAAACAGTATCATCATCGATATAAGCGACTTTACGAGAAGACCGACTTATGTAAAGCAATTCAAGCAGTGCTGCATGCCCACAGTTTATCCCGGGGTAATTCCTTAAAGGAGGCAAGCATATTAAGCCATCTTGGAATCTACCTTGAAAGCATGTTCAGACAAACGGGCAATGAGTCTATCCTGGAAAAAGCTATCAATGCAACCCGGGATGCCCTCCACTTGACAAACGACAGTTGCCCAGATCGAATAGGCTGGTTGAGCAACCTTGGAAATAGGCTCGCAACCCAATATGAGCATAACGACGATATGCAAAGCCTAGACGAAGCTATAAGAATAACAGGCGAGGCAGCCCGATCAATCAAATCCGACCATACAGATCAGGCATTAATATCCAGGAACCTCGGACACGGGTTGGAAACCCGATATCAGCGAACAAACGACAATTTCGACTGGGAAAACGCCAGGAATGCATTTCAAATTGCCTGGGACTGCACAGCCGGTATCCCTTCACGTCGCGTCGAAGTTGCTGCTCGTCTAATGAACATTATGGGGTTGCAAGAAGAATTTGATCGTGCTGCAACGCTTGCTGTGGAAGGTATCGACCTCCTTCCAACCATCTCGAACAGGTCTCTCCAACGCAGTGACCAGCAGTATGCCGTGTCGCATTTCTCGGGACTCGCCACCTCGGCATGCTCGATTTATCTCAGACTTGGTTTGCCAGAGAAGGCGCTGGAAATTCTTGAGAGAGGGCGGACGGTCATTCTCAATCAACTCATCGGCGACCGAAGCGACATCTTGTCACGGTTTGGGGTCTCTCCTGCTCTGCTCCTGTAGTCGCAACTTACCTTTGTAATGGAACGATGCCTATCTGGGACTAGCGCTGTTTACGGTCACCCACCTACATATACAGTTTGTAGACTCAGACAATACAACCTCAGTTCAATCCTTCAATTCTTCCAGCAACCACTAATCCCCACACATCTCATCCCTTAGCGAGACAAATCCAGATGAAGCTGTTCGTTTCCAAACACTCCTGGATGAGATAAACGCTCCTTTTACTAGGCCAGACGACCTCACTATGATGGAATGTGCTGGACAACAGCGTCGAAACAGTCTAGCAGCATTCAAGTCATGTGTCGATGATGTCGGATGTGGGAGAACAGAGCAGAAAAGAGGCAGAAGGTTGTTGTATTGAGAGAGCTACATGAAGCGATTATATACATAACTAAGATGAGTAAGCAGGTGACGAGGAGTCACGTGAGATACAGTTCATAGTGTACCAGGTGAACTGAGGTGCCAGGCTGACAGATGACATCCACAATATTTCTGGTTACGATCGGTTCCTTTTGTAACGGGCTGAGCCTCGAGTCACATGACTAGGCTGCTAGCCTAGTCGCTTCCCCGGCAACGTGAGGGCCGTGCGCCAACCCAAACAAAGCAGGCTCGCCGCTTGCGTCTTACCTTCTTTCTTCATCTTGACTGTAAATAGCATCTGGACTAGGTAGCTGGAATACAGTCCCTACAGACCGTTCACATACAGTCAAGATCAAGAAGAACACGCAGAATACGCAGAACACGCAGAACACGCAGAACACGCAGAATACGCAGAATACGCAGAATACGCAGAACACGCAGAACACGCAGCAACCAAAGCACCGCTATAATGAGCTCCCCCGGGGATACTGACATGACGACGAACGATTCGAACCAGCTGTTACAGTCGCTACTACAGAGACTTGAAGACATGAGCACTAGGATGGAGAGGCTGGAAGCACCATCGCACGAGCTACCTCAAACGCCTGGTCACAATACAGACGCCACCACTGATCCAACGCCAACCTCCGAGACTTCGAACACATCTGTGCCTATAACCCCAAAGCCGCGGCACAGCTTACCCCACCCGCCTACGTTTGGTGGAAACAAATCACAATGGCGAGGATGGAAGCTAGAGATGGAGGGCAAGATCGAAGAAGACGCGCAAGCTATTGGAAGCCTAAAAGCTCAGCTACGCTACGTCTACATGCGTCTTGATGGGGCAGCGAAAACCAACGTTACAACATACTACGAGATACAAGTTAAAGAAGAATCGCCAAACCCTTTCAAGCTGCTTGACCGCCTTGAACTCCTCTACGGCGAACGAAATCGGAAGGAGAAAGCCATTCAGAACCTCTACTCTATACGCCAGAAGGACGACGAGACGTTTATTTCCTTCTATCCACGGTTTGAGAAAGAGATGGCCAACGCTGACGCAGAAAGCTGGCCTGAGCATACGAAGATATCCTACTTACGCAATGCATTAAGTGGTAGGATAAAGGATAGGCTTGTTGGTACATCAGGAGCAGAAACAAGCACATACGCAAGGTTCGCTCAGAAGTGTGCAGATCTTAGCAACGACATGGAGTTGTTCGGCCAATGGACGAAAACAACCCGCCGTTACGGTAGCCGAACTGCTGAAAATGCACTAACCTATGAACCACCAGCAAAATCAAATAATGCCACGCTCACAGCAGTTTCCCCCGAAGACATGATGGAATGGGAACCTACGCAGCCTACAACTACCCAAGTGAACGCTGTCGGCCTCCGCGGCAAGACCAACATGAATGGATATCCATCTAGGCGTCCCGAAGACCGAGAACTTATTGGAAAACGAGCAAAATGGGTCAACCAAGAGGAAATCGATGCTCGACGCCAGGAACGACGCTGCCTCCGATGCGGCCGCAACAATTGCCGAATAGCTACATGCCCGTTAGCAGCCGCTCTACGACCAACTCACGTTAGCGTCAAGACAGCAAAGAGTACTGTGGTCACCAAGGCAGCTGTAGAGGAGGAAGATCCAGAAGACTCCGAAGCAGAGCAATAGGAACACGCGGCAGCTCAGAAAGAATGGAAAGAGACCGGAAAGCAAAAGATGGATAGCGATCCCTTTGTACTGGACGTTAGACTTAATGGAACTGACTTTGTCACTGGACTTGTTGACTCAGGTTGCCTTTGCTATTCTGCCATTAATGAACAACTCTTTCGATCTCTGAGACTGCCATCAATCAAGATAGCCCCGCGCCAGCTAGAGGAAGCAGCTGGGAAGAACGCAGAACCAAGTACTGTCCTAGATACAGTTACTTACGCCTCGATAGACATAGACGGCCACCAGCAGAAACGCGTCTTCTTCTACGTTGTACCTGGCCTAACTTACGACGTGATCCTAGGAAAGCCCTGGTTAGAAGATGCCGACGTCACAATTTCGGCCAAACAAGGCTGCCTAGATATCGGCGCGTCAAACATCCGCGCATGGAACCACAAGAAAGCGTCATACAAGCCACCACTAATGAAGGCTACTCAGGTGATGGCTTCCGCATTCATGGCGGAGGTGAGAAGAAGCCGTAGGAAGAACAAAGGAGACGGTATTGCGCTCGACACTGGACTGTTCGCTGTTTCCATCGCCGACATTGAGAAAGCTTTGAAACCGCGCAAACGATCCGATCCAAAGACGAAGCTCCCACCCCAGTACCACCAATGGCTGAAGGCTTTCGACCATTTCCTAGCTGAGAAACTTCCCCCACATCGTAAAGGCGTTGATCTCCACATTGAGATTGAAAAGGATCAAGACGGAAACGAGAAGACCATTCCATGGGGTCCGCTCTACGGCATGAGCCGAGAAGAGTTACTAGTGCTTAGGAAAACTCTCACCGAGCTGTTAGACAAGGATTTTATCCGCGCTAGTAACTCTCCCGCAGCTGCACCCGTCCTGATGGTCAAAAAGCCAGGAGGGGGCATCCGATTTTGCGTTGACTACCGAGGCTTGAACAACATCACCAGGAAGGACCGTTACCCTCTGCCTCTATTCACAGAAACACTGAGAAATGTAGCTAAAGCTAAATGGTTCACAAAACTTGACGTTATCGCAGCCTTCCACAAGATCCGTGTGGCCAAAGGAGAAGAATGGAAGACAGCTTTCCGAACAAGATACGGCCTATTCGAATGGCGGGTTGCTCCCTTCGGACTAACAGGAGCACCAGCCGCATTTCAACGCTACGTAAATGGTGTTCTACAGGATTACCTTGACGACTTTGTTTCAGCCTACGTTGACGACATCTTAATCTACTCGTCAGGATCGCTTCAGGATCACAGAGAGAAGGTTGGAAAGGTTCTTCAACGCCTTATAGACGCTGGACTGCAGATTGATATCGACAAGTGCGAGTTCGAGACTAAACGAGTCAAATACCTCGGGTACATTGTGGAAGCAGAAGTGGGCATTCGAGTTGATCCTGAAAAGATTATCGCAATCCGCGAATGGGCTACACCAACGTCAGTTAAGGCTATCCGAGCATTTATTGGTTTTGCCAACTTTTACCGAGTTTTTATACCAAACTTCTCGGACATTGCTGAACCGCTTATCAACCTAACTAAGAAAGAGATGGTTTTTCATTGGGACGAGGCTTGCAATCAAGCATTTGAAACGATTAAGGAACTTCTCATTACAGCACCAATACTCGGCCATTTTGATCCAGAGAAGGACACCTTGGTAGAAGCCGACTCCTCAGGACATGCAACTGGCGGCCTATTGCTGCAGAAGGACAAGAACAACAACTGGCAACCCGTTGCCTACTACTCAAAGAAGCACTCACCAACAGAGGCCAATTATCCAATTCATGACAAGGAGCTTCTAGCTATTGTTCGTTGCTTAGAAGCATGGGCTCCTGAACTACGTATGGTTAGGAAGTTCACAGTTCTGACGGACCACAAGAACCTTCAATACTTCTACCGCGAACGACAGCTGTCTGAAAGACAAGTACGTTGGTCAGAGTTTCTCTCACGATTCGACTTCTCCCTGGAATGGAAACCTGGAAAGACTATGGGAAAACCTGACGCCCTGTCACGACGAGAACAAGACCTACCCGCCAACTACGACGATGAACGAATACGGTCTCGATTTATCCGTCTTTTCCAGAGCAAGCACTTGCAGAGTGTTCAAATCCAGTCCCTGTCGTCCGAGGAGATTGACTTCACAGAAGAGATACGCATGTTTGAGGACCAGGACATGCAAAATCTCTGGCACCGAAGCCGCCAAGAGGATGAGCTTTATCAGGAGCTCACTACGCTGGTAGCAAACAAGGAGCGGAACCTCCCTACCAAACTTCAGAAGGAGAAGTCAGTGAGTATAGCAGAATGCACCCTGGACGAGAGAGGCCTGTTGCGATTTCGAGACCGGATATGGATCCCTGACTGCGAACCACTTCGCACACGAATTATTCAAAATATTCACGACTCGCATATCACCGGCCATCCTGGACGAGATCTTACCTACTCAATCTTATCAAGGCAGTTCTTCTGGTCAGGTGTAGCAAGCGACGTGCGACGCTTTGTCCGTAACTGCGAGATTTGCGGGAGGAATACGATATGGAGAGAGACAAAGAAGGGCCTCCTTAAACCGCTACCGATCCCAGAACGTATATGGGGAGAACTTTCAATCGATTTTATTACGGACTTGCCGCCATCTGGACGCGATGACGCAACGAACTGCATGGTGGTCACTGATCGGCTGACAAAGGGAGTTGAACTGGAAGGCATGCACGATATCTCGGCAGAAGCAGTAGCACAACGGCTTTTAGAACGGCATTACCCTATTCATGGTATTCCAACGGCAATTACGAGCGATAGAGGACCACAATTCGTCAGCGATCTTTGGAGGCATTTCTGTAAACTCCTCAGCGTTGAGCAACGCCTGTCGACTGCCTATCATCCGCAAACCGATGGTGCAACAGAGCGAATGAACCAAGAGATTGAGAAGATGATTCGAATCTGGGCCACCTACACGCAAGAAAATTGGCTAGCACTTTTACCTATCGTTATGGGAGCAATCAACAATCGCGAGGCCTCATCTACTGGCCTAAGCCCCTTCTATTTTATGCACGGATATCACAATGAACCCATTCAGCTGGTAGAGGATCGAACTATTCAGGACCGACCAAAGAGAGACGGCGAAGCACTGGCAGAAGGCTTCCTTAAAAGACTCCAAGACGCAACAGAGTGGGCCCAAGCTGCGATCGCGATAACACAAGAGAAACAGCAACATCAAGCTAACAAGACAAGAACAGCAGCGCCCCAATACAAGGAGGGAGACTGGGTGTTTTTGAACCTTAGAAACGTGAAGACAACACGACCTTCCAAGAAGCTAGACTGGTTGCATGGAAAGTACAAAGTCTTGAGGCAGGTCAACTCCCACTCTTATCAACTTGACGTTCCGGGGAAGATCCATCCTGTCTTCCACGTAGACCTGCTTCGCTACGCGCCTAACGACTCTCTCCCATCGCAGAAGGTTGGAGACACTCAGCCAGGGCCTATACTTGTAGATGGAGACGAGCTATGGCTGGTTGAACGTATTCTGGGCGAACGCACAACAAGGCAGGGAGGGAAAGAAATCAAGGAGGCATATGTGAAGTGGGTGGACTATACTGAACCGACATGGGAACCTGTGAGTAACGTACTAAAGACTGACGCTTGGAGGAAATGGAGAAAACTACGCGCTAAAGGGAAAGGAGGGGGGTAATGTAACGGGCTGAGCCTCGAGTCACATGACTAGGCTGCTAGCCTAGTCGCTTCCCCGGCAACGTGAGGGCCGTGCGCCAACCCAAACAAAGCAGGCTCGCCGCTTGCGTCTTACCTTCTTTCTTCATCTTGACTGTAAATAGCATCTGGACTAGGTAGCTGGAATACAGTCCCTACAGACCGTTCACACCTTTTGGGTTTGACACCAGCTGAAATGCGTGCATGTGCAAGGGAAGGGCCTATTGTCGTGGTCAACGTAACTACTATCAGTAGCCACGCGATTATCGTTACGTCGTCAAATATCAAGAGTATAGAGCTGCCCAGATTGTCCGTGCCGGACGCCCGGAAATGGCTGGACATGCAGTGGGATACAGACCGAAAAGGCCTCGACGCCGGCAACAAAGACTTAGTAGAGTACCTGGATTGGCTCTGGCAGGTCTGCGTGAGAGGTGTTCTCATGGCATGCGATCTTAGAGTGTAGCCGGCGAAGCAAGACCTCCCAAGGATCTGGTGGATCGGAACTGGGTTGGCTAGCTCGATGCCCTTCCATGCAGCTGGAAGCCACAAGCTTAATTCGGAAAGAATCTTTTCAAGAGGGTAGTTTCGTCTTACACGCCATCAATCCAAGCCCTCGCATATAGCCGGGAGCGGGCGCGGAAAAGCCATGTATGCGGCGACAGTGTATTGCTGGCGACCATGACAACTACTCCTGGCCTCCATACCCTTCACGGAGTTGAAGATGAAAAGGAAGCAATTTTGGAAGTGCTTCCTACTCATTGTCAATTGGATGTACACGATCATCCAGGCACTGACCGTATCGTTCAAAGCCTAGAGCATTGTAGCATCGCCCACTTTGCTTGCCACGGACTGACAAACTATACCGATCCATCCAAGAGTGGGCTGGTATTCCGGAAGCAGGATGGTGCCGGAAGTCTTATCCAAGACACGATGACGGTGCAGAATGTCTCCGAACTGAAGTTAGAGCACGCGAGGCTCGCATATCTTTCAGCTTGTTCAACAGCAGAGAACAGAGCGGTGAGACTAAAAGATGAGGTCATTCATGTCGTTAGCAGATTCCAGGTTGCTGGATTTGCGCATGTCGTCGGCTGTCAGTGGCCATCCGCAGATGCAATTTGTGTAGAGGTCGCCAAGGCATTTTATGGCACACTCTTCGGAGGGGACGGGAAAATGGAGGACAATGACATTGCCTCAGCGCTACAAAAGGCAGTGAGCACAATCAGGGAGAAGGAGTGGGACCAGCCATTGAAATGGGCGCAGTTTGTCCACTACGGGGCATGAAAAACTATTACTAGACTTGAATGATATATTGTCAGCGAAGCTTATGACTACGGTATCTAACACCTCTATACCTAGTGGTGTAGAATTATCCTAACCTATCTTTCTTCGATCTTATACGCCGAAGAATTTCCCGACTCTGAGTCGGTGTCGCTACAATCACGTTGGCGAAGCACATGTCACGATGCGAGGGAAGATTTACTTTGAGAGAGATCAATTTACTAAAACAAACACAGAACTCTAGAATACTTGCTAAACACCCCGAAAACAAGAAGAGATGAAGCAAGAAGGTAAACGCCCCAACAACAGAAGAAGAGGGAGCAAGAGGACAAACAAAAGGCAACCTGAATCAAGACGCATCAGACTCAGGTGCCTTGTAGCCCCTCTTGCGCCACGCCGGCATCTCGTACTGCTCAACTTGCACAGGCCCGGCTTGACCAGTCGGCGACGGCGTAGAGGACCTCAAGTACAAAGTCGGATTGCGAGCCTTGTTGACAGCCTGATCAGCGAGGTTGACGATGCTCAGAGCACGACGGAGCCGTTCGTCTGACGCTGTCCCACGCTTAAGGAGGTACTCGGCTTGCTTGTACTCGTCGCTCTGTAGTGTCGCCTCAGCCTCCTGAAGACGCTGCTGTTTCTCCGCTGCAACAAAGGCGCTGTAGCGGGAGGGCTCGTCATCTTCCTTGCGAAGGGGGCCGCGAGGCTGGGCGATGACAGAGGGGGCGTAGTCGGTGAAGACACGGGAGGCGAGGGCGTCGTAGGGCTGGGTGGCCTCAGGCTGGGAATAGTTGGAGTCGTAGGTGGCGGTGGAAGCGCGGATGGTGGAGGCGCGTGGCTGGTAGAGATGGTTCAGGTTCTGCTCGTACTCAAGGGGGGATTGAGGACGCTCCGAGGAAACGCGGCGAGAGGGGCCTGCATCATAGTGAGTAGCTTCCGCGTGGGGGACGTATAGGGTATCTTGAGTCTCAGGTGCAGACTCTAGATCACTAGTTGACTCCTCCTCCTTGCGGATGTAGAAGAACTTGCACTTAGCCTTGTCCCAAAATGTCAGCTGCTTGGTTGGTTTAGGCTGATCCAAAACCGCAGAACGTGCAGCTGTAGCGCCACCGAATGTAGTCATCTCAATCTCAACGCCCGAAGAAGTGTTGCTGGATGAAGCCGCCTTGTTGATAGCCTCGCGCTCACGTACCATCCCAGGGGTGATACACTTAAGCTCACCAGACTGCCACTTCTCCAGCTGCTTCTCCATGTCGTTGCAACGCGGACACTTACCTTGAAAGCGGAGGTAGATCATGTAGCAAACTGTAACCAAAAGCAAAAGTCCAAGGACAGCGAAAGCAGCAGCGAAAATGCCAACGGTCGTGTCATCGAACTCATGCCTAGGAGGGGCTGACGGCACCCCTGTGATGGATGAAGAAGGCAGAATGCTGGTTGTCGAAGAGGTGGGCATAGTGGAGCTAGATGAGATCAAAGTGGAAAATGTCGATGCAGGCGCAGTGCTGCTCAGACGGACCTTGGAACTAGCAACCGTCGTTAAATTCCGACTAGCAGACGAGACGTTGGCGGATGTAGTCGAAGCCTGAGCAAAATCTGTGGGATAGACAGTGGTGTACTGCGTGACGATGACATAATCAGAGGGGGAGTCCATGTTTGCGAAACTTTCCAGAAGCTTCAGATGAACTGTGTGATGATCTAGCTATACTGGGAAGTAACTGATTGTTCTATTTATGCCAAACAAGCGGGTGCGCTGTGGTGCGACTTCACGATGTGAGTAATCGTGGTTTTCCCACAATGTATCCATTTATACACAATGGTGAGGATAAAGGGGTACATTGTAAACAAACAGTGCTGGCTGAGTGTGTTGACATGAACACGATGATCGTATCGGATTACCGTATGTGACATAACGAGGAGTCCGACTCTCAACGTACTCATTACAATTACATCAATTTTCCAAATTTCAAAACGCGCTATTGGCTCACAATTTCATGTCTTAATATGAAGAGTGGGATCAGGTTGGCAAGAACATGCTAGTTTTGGATAGGTCGCAAATCGATACTGCCGAGACAGGAGGCTTTTCACGAAAAAAGTGATACTTTCAAAAAGAGACCCAGAAGCATGAGCATAAAATTGTGGAGAGATTGGGCCGTGACAGTCGTGTCTGTCGTAACCACGATCTATATAGATATATACCCTAGGGAAAACCGTGAAAAAATATGTCAAATCAGACCAGTCTGAAGTAAGTTCACTTGATGGGATGATTCACAAGGATAAATTTCGTTCAAATTAGAATGGTAGAAGAAAAGTCTATTCGCGAGATTGGACAATAGTACAAGCAAATCACACCATTGGCCATCTAACGGCACTAGAGTGTGAAGAAAATAACAAATCAACAAGTAGGACTCTAGCGAACAAACACATTGTGTAGCGTCACATGTATAGACACTGCTACTCCACAGGAAAGCGTCGTACCTATTGTGTCGTCCGATACACCACTGTCGCGCACAGGATCATGAGATAGATCAAAGGAATCGCGAACACACTCAACGCCAAGATGTACAGGTGGGGCAAGCTTGTTCCCTGTCTTCTCCACTGTTGCGTCGCCCACAGGCTCAGACTTGCCGAGCTTCTTCGACGCAAAAGTGACGCTTGAACCAGGCACAGGAGATTGCCAATCCTTGCGGGCAAGCGCTCCATCCTCCATAGTCATCGGCGGAATCTCTGGTAGCTCTGGCGTCTTGACCGACTCGGCGGACGACGCGGGGATTGAATCAAGGGCTAGCTCTGGGTCATTAACTGCGTCCTTTCGTACTGCCCGCGCCTTGCGAGCACGGTTGTACTATGGTACCCCGGTATTGATCATCCAGAATAAAACAAAAACCAGAAACAAAGAGCCAACAATGCTAGCAACAAAGATGAGCGCGCTGAAGTTTGCAGAAGTCGATGACGCTGAAGGTGCCACAACTGAATCTGCCTTGCGGCTTGTAAGGCTCGGAAGAACTGGCATGTTGTTTGGCAAGTGATGAAATCAGTTCTATGTCTACTACGCCCGGCGTAGTTGTCAGGTTGAGTTGGGTCGGAAGAAGGGTAGAGGTTTGGTTTGCCGTATAAGAGGCCCATGTTGCAACATTGTGTAGAGGGCCTGGGATCTCATAGAGTTTACACTGTGAGTGAACGATTAAAAGTATCTTAAGCTAGTCACCGCGACTGCACATTGCGAAATCAGGCGTATACTCGTACTGTTGGGAGTGCTCACATCAAATGAGTGAAATTTGCAATACCTCTGCATGACCGGCCAAAATCGTCAGATGGTATACGTACTTCGCGGAACTCCGCCACCAAGGGATGCAACAACATAACTAGTCGAAGAATTACAGAGTTATCCAAATCTATTGCAGGCTGCCTTACGAAAGTTCAGTTTGATAAAGTGAGCATTGTTCGATTGCGTCGTTGATGATGCTTGAAAACACAGGAAAGAAAACAGTAACACTCCGGGGGAGGAGTAACAGTCCGGCGAAAGAGTAGCAGTCCGCTATGATCGATGGGTTTCGCTAATTGCCACATATGGACAAAGTGGGGGTGCCTCGGTTGTTAGCGAAGCCCCTCCACCTTCCCGAAGCCGTATCGAGATGAAGCGAACAACCACCACGAAAAGACACCCCTCGACGCTCGGCTCGATCTTCATCAATAAGAACAGATCACAGTCGACCTACACGCGATATGTTTGCGACAGAATCCAGAAGCTGGTATTGTTACCCTACACCGTAGCTGATCGACTGAACCCGGTATGCGATAACTACCCATCTACCGACGTCACGGGCACACCCATCGTATAATCTTTGCGATGGGCCGAGTAAGGACCGGCTTCCGCATTTGTTTTTGGAGACTTGGATCAGCAGACTGAACGCCACGTGCCCACCACCATGCAAGTCTACACGCCCTGACATGTCAGATCTCGGCCCGAGTTGGACGTGTGCGACAGGCTATTTACCGTATTCACGGATATCCAACACGTGATACGGCAAAAAATTGTAGACAGCACGAAGATGATTTGCAGGGTTGGAGTCTATTCGATTCAACCAGAAAGAACATTGGTATCATTCACGTCAGGTAATGAGCCTGTAAAGCTAGACTACGTGTTGGTCTCATAGACCTCATTAAAGTCTCCCAAGGAGTTAGTCCTCCCTATCGTCTTCTCGACCCTAGTACTCTTTGGTCTCTTCGACATGAGAAATGGAGCCTTGCTTTGCAGCGACTTCCTCGACGCGGCGCTCGATATCGGGAATCCAATCGCGCTTGTTCATTCCTGGTACAAACAAAGGTGCGTTTGTGAAGAGGTAGTTCATCTCCTCGAGCGGGCGCTTTGCAGTCTCGGGCAGGAAGCAGTAAAAGAAGATGGCGTTTGTAAGATTGCAGATCTGTCATCTAGTGTAAGCGGTTGGAAATTCAAACTTTGACATGGGAATACTTACGACAAACAGCAGGTAGAATCTCCATCCAGCTGTATCCATACCGGGCTTGGTGACCTGTCCAATCATGGTGTTGAACGCGAAAGAAGTCATCGTGGCGATGGAAACACCCTTAGAGCGGGTCTTTGTGTCGAAAATTTCAGCGGGGATGATCCAAGACAGCGGTCCGCAGGTGGAGCTGAAGCAAAAATTGTATGCCCAAGTGACAGCGATGAAGCCCCATGAGGCGCCCGCATTTCCAGTCGTGCCAGGGGGGTAGAGAGCCAACATGATGGTGGCGATGATAAAGGTAACGCAGTTGCCAAGGTTTCCCATGATCAAAGGCCAGCGACGCCCGAATCGATCAATAAAGGCAATGCAAAGCGCCTGTCCGCAAAGTGCAAGAACTGAAGAAATGGCCTGGTACTTGAGTGCGTCTGTGCTGCTGATACCCATCTGGTTGTAGATGGTAACGGAATAGTACTGGATAGCTGAAACACCAGTCATCTGGACTGAAGCCTGGAGAGCGCATGCAAGGAAAAGACGGCGGAAGCATGACTTGTCCCGGAAAAGCTCCATGTAAGACTGAGCAGCATTTTCGCGCTCATAGGTCAGCGATTCCTGGATCTGCGAAAACTCGGCTTGGACCCAGGCATCGGTCTCATCGCCGTTGGAGTGCAGTTGAGCCAGATTATGGAGACCCTGCTCAACTTTGCCCTTGCTGATAAGCCATCTAGGCGATTCAGGGAAGACCATGATGAGCGCCCCCAAGAAGACAGCGGGAATGACCTGGATACCAAGCGAGGTTTGCCATTGGCCGTTGTTGTCATTTGCGAAACCGATGTCGACACCATAACTGATCCAGGCGGCTGCAAGGGCACCGATTCCCAACATGAACTGCACGAGAGCGGTGACTCGTCCACGAATGCTGGGGTGAACCATTTCAGATTGATACATTGGCACAATCATGACCAGGGAACCGATACCGACACCGGCCAGAATGCGGCCGGCATACAAGTAACCGAGATTTTGAGCGCCAGTCTGCAGCGCGCCACCGAGACAAAACACCTACATTGTACTATCGTCAGGAAAAAAACGCTTAAATAAAGCGACAGAATTCTTACAATAGATCCAATCATGATGGTCAATCGTCGACCGAGGTAGTCACCGGTGGGACCAGCAAAGGCAGCTCCAAAGAAGGCGCCGCCCGTAAACACCGACACGACTGCTCCAGTTTCATTTGAATTAGGATAGTTGAACTCTTTGTTGAAAGCTTTTGAAGAAATGACCTGGGCAATGACACCGAGATCGTATCCGTACAACAAGGAACCAAGGGATGCAAAAAGACCCACGAGGAACTGATACACTTTGGGAGGGAGCGCCATGGCGACTGCAGATGGGATTGACAATTTCTGCAGGAAAAGGAAAATGCGATGCGTAACGAACCCCCCCTGCGAGCAATCTAGGGTTTTATACTCGGTCTTCTGACATATTTGCTTCCCTGTACATTTCACATGGCATTATGGTCTGGGGGAACGCATTCAACGACGCTACTCCAGGATCCCCACAAAGAGCGGGGGGTCTGACTCGACTCCGCGTTTATTACCTCCGCAATCCGCCTTGTCACCCCTGTCGCACCAATTGCTGATGCCAGCTCCAACGCTGCGGTACTTGCTCGGTTCATAGCAAGCCGACTTGAATTTTGGTGTCCAACGCCATCTAGCTAGTGCCAGCCTATTGACGGCTGAAGTACTTCAGCCGCCGTTCTGCGACTGGTTCAACGACGCTTGGCCGCGCATGGGTGGGGACGGATAGTTTCCTGAAAAGGGTGGTAGTGCGTGAGACATCCGAGGTGGGTTGGCTTAGTGTACGGTGCTGGAATTCCACGAATGGGAGCGAGGATGCGGGTCGGAAATCCCACCTCTATTGGTGTTGGAGCGGCACCAAGTCGGACCACATGGTAAACGGCATGAAGCTCTCCACGACAACGTGGGGTATGTCGTGTCTCTATTATTTCGATGTTTGAAGTCTTTGCGCTCTTTCTCTTCACATCAACCGGAATATCAAAATACCATCCATACGATCGACCATGGCGACCTTTACTAAGATCGAGGAGAGCGAAACGCCTTCCATCACCATTCACCCCGCACATCAGATCGCTAAGATCAATGACAACGTATACGGTGGCTTTACCGAGTAGGTTCCATCTTAGGGTTTCTGGGCTGATTTTGTGCGAGGCGTGCATGCCTTATCCTCGGCTAACCAACCATGTGCCAGGCACATGGGCCGCTGCATCTACGGCGGCATTTACGATCCCGGCAACTCATTGTCAGACGATAGAGGCTTCCGAAAGGACGTCATTGAGGCTTTCAAGGAGCTCAATGTACCTGTAGTGCGCTACCCTGGCGGCAACTTTGTGGCAACGTACCATTGGCTTGACGGTGTTGGGCCCAAAGAGAACAGGCCAAAGAGGTAAGTCTCCCACCATCCATTCATACGCAATGCGAGATTTCCATATATCGATTTTGTTACATTTTGGATCATCTACCTGCATGCAAAAACTCCCGATCTGGTCTTTCCATGCTGCGGGAGATTGCCACAGGGGAATGCGTAGACTAAGCATGAGACTAGGCCTGAGCTTGCATGGATCGGCATCGAGCCCAACACTTTTGGTACAGACGAGTTCATGCAGTGGTGTGAGGAAGTTGGAACAGAGCCTTACCTTTGTCTCAACTTTGGTACTGGTACACTGGATGAAGGTATGATCGAGCTCACATCCCATTCAGTGTGTGATTCTAATCTCTTCTAGCGCTTGGATGGCTCGAGTATTGCAACTCAGACCGCGACACCTACTACGCCAACCTCCGACGCAAGAATGGCCGTGAGAAGCCATACAATGTAGGTAGTTCAGATTTGCATGAACATGACTTGATACTAACGTCCGAGCCAGGTCAAATACTGGGCCCTCGGCAACGAGTGCTACGGCCCCTGGCAGGTTGAGCAAATGACCAAAGAAGACTACGCAAAAAAAGCGTATCAATGGGCCAAAGCCCTCAAACTCCTGGACCCCACCATCACCACCATCCTGTGTGGAGAAACCGGTTACTCATCCTGGGACTACTACGTCCTCAACCAATGCGTAAAATGGGACGTCCACGGCCTCAGCGGCGACAACACAAAGAGCCTTATCGACATGCACTCGATCCACATCTACACAGCCGACAAGGAGCACCTCGCCAACGCCACGGCCCCACGCGCCGCCGAACGCGCCATCCAAATGGCATCCAGCCTGATTGACCTCGCCCGCATCGAAAACAAAGTCCCCGAAACCGTGCCTAAGCAGCTCATCTGCTTCGACGAGTGGAACGTCTGGGACCCCGTGCGTGCGCCAGGAGAAGACGGCGCAGAGGAAAAATACACCCTCTCAGACGCCCTCGCCGTCTCCATCTTCCTCAACGGCTTCATCCGCCAGGCCAAGGACGTGGGCATGGCCACGGTCGCGCAGAGCGTAAATGTCATTTCGCCCCTCATGACGACCAAGACGGGCCTCGTCAAACAGACGTCTTGGTGGCCGCTGCTGCTGTTTTCAAAGTATATGCGTGGTCATACGCTTGCGCTAAACGTGCGGGCGCCGGAATACACGGGTCGCACCAAGCCGAGCTGGATCCGGGGCACGATTGAGACGCCGTTCTTGGACTGTAGTGCTGCGCTTAGTGACGATGGATGGATTAATCTGGCTGTTACGAATGTGCATGAGTCCAAGGGGTTTGAGGTTGAGATTGCGGGGCTCAAGGCGGATAAGGTCGAGGTGCATACCGTGACGGGGGAGAATGTGGATGTGGTGAATACGGATGGGGTGCAGAATGTGGGTATCAAGGAGAGTAGCTGGGATGGAAAGGGTAAGTTTATGTTTGGGAAACATTCGTTTACGCTGTTGAGGTGGAAGGCTTGAGTGTGGGGCTTGTGTCGTCTAGATATACAGGGGTAAATGAGTAAATGGGAAACATGCCAACTCCATTGTTATTTCGTCTAAGGTGAGTGAATAGCTCGGTAGAGCTCTCGTCAAAATCATGTAATTGATAGAAAAGATTTACTCATGATGGAAAGCTGTTACATAGAAGCGAAACAAGGAAAGACCTAGGGGCTATCATGACTAGTAGACTCCGCAACAATCAATTCAATCCGGTCACTCTCCTAGACCCACTTACCTATCTAGGTAGGGCTTAAACTCCTATAGGTAACTACTAGGCTTAAAGCGGTAATCAATCAATCCAATCTGAACCTTCTAGGACCCACTTAATTGATTGTTGCGGACTGTGAGCACCGATACTACCCTTCCTGCGTCTTCTCGGCCGAGACCGACACGCAGCAACGATACACTGTTGAACGACGGCTTCGAACTGTCCGCGTTTCTTCCGAATACCACAAGGCTGTTAGAACCAGGGCTCAATGCAGGCACATCGCGAGAAGAAGTTACTGCATGTGTAGATGCCCCGCCCCTAGGCGCTCTATTCGAAGACACGAGTGCGTTGTCGTCTAAGTCATCCGCCAAAGAAAAGCCATCGACAACGGTTATCAGCATTGAATACACGAGTAAGAAATTCGTACTTAAATCTTTCGGTATTTCGAACGCTACACACCTGAAACTTCTGGTAAGGATACTTACTACCACATGATGAACATAGATTGGATAACGTACCCTATAGGAGAATGCAAGAGAAGCACACAGACACATGAAGGAAGAATCGGCATCTCAGTGCGTCACAAGCTGGAACGACCTACCAAACGAAACAAAGTACCGAGTGGCAGACTGGATGATATCCAATGCCGAAACGCCCCTACAGCAGTACTATAAACAATTGGTGTACGATACTCCATCTGGCAAACGATATTGGGTGGCCATGTGGTATCTTGCCTATAGTCACAAATTCAGGTTGGTCCAATGCGAAGTAGACAGTAAACAGGACTAACGATGGTGTGAAGGAAGCGATCGGTTACTGCACAAATGGCCAGTGACAGCCCCCACGATTCGGATTTCCAGATAGCGAACCCTCCAGGTGGAGTTGATACCAAAGACACATCCCAAGAAGTGTGTGGAAGTAATCACGATGCTGGCGAAACATTTCATTCAAGCCTGGACGTTTCACTGGTACCGTGGCTCCCAGCAGAAGCACAATTTCCATGTTTACCCTCCGGCACATCATCCTCGCTGTCAGAGTACCATAACGACAGAACCGAACTCCCAAACGACTCCCACAGTTACCAAGTAAGTTGACAATGCCAAAGCTCCCATGTGACTGACACACCTAGTCTGCCCCCATACCTGTGACCGGCATACCATTCCATGGGTCGGGAGGTTTTTCATTCGCACATCCAGACGAGATGATAGTTGAGACACCGTCATTCGTTCACTTACATAACACCCCACCGGCCGGCTTCACTTCATCAGTTTTTAAAAGCCCTACAGTTGCAGCATACCTTCCTCCAACCGCAGAATCACGCGCAAAAGATGAGAGTAGCAATTTCTTAGAGCAGCCACAAGAACGCGCCTTCCCTCAATCTCAAACTTTTCTTACTACCACTCCCCGTCTCACAGTTCAGTCGGAAGGCCTCTCTGAACAAGCTAATAAGGAAGAGCTGTTCAAAAAGACAGGCATTACGCCGTTAATACACAAAAGGCTTATGGTAAGACTAATTACCACTATTCATGAACTCTCAACAGATAACACATCTTCTAGGAAATTGCCAAAGAAGCAAGAGAAATATGGATTCCGGCCCCAACGACAAAACAGCACGTGCTGAAATGGGACGCGATACCAGCCAAAACAAAGTGCAGCGCCGTAGATTGGATGGTTTGTAGTGCTCTTTCAGACTTAAAGCAGTACTGTACTCATGGGGTGTGCAAGTGGTATCTGCGGCACAGCTATCACTACAGGTCAGTGCAAAGTGGAACAGATATGTTTGAATAAGCCTACTTAATTCTGTACAGAAAACCTGCCAAAGGATCGAACCCAAAAGCTAAAAGAAGCAATAGCTTTGACGAAACAAAATGCCACGAGCCTGGACCTGTGAGAAGGATCAACACATGGCCCAAAACAGAAACAACAACATTTGAAACTGGCCAATTCTGTGCCACACCTCCACTTTCGATCCATCCTTCTGCAGACTGGGGCTTTGCTTCTCATGAAAATCACCCGCAAGCTTGCAACCCTAATGGAACCGCGCATTTCCACCAGCATTATACATAAAGCTGCATTGGCGACAGGTGTACAATTGATATCTTGTTTTGTACCTAATTAATTGCTTGTTATCATATGTCATTGAGTAACTCACAAGTGAACTGGCAAGCAATTGAATTGAGCTAGCAATAGCTTGATGTTCTTCCACGGTGAAAGGGGATACGACAAACACATCAGCGTTTCTCAGAAACCCCGACGATTACGAAACTAGCGGTAGGCCTGTTCTCGTCCCGAAATCCGCCCAGATTTCCTATATTCTTGGCTGTTTTGATTAATTTGCTACTTGGGAGTATTGGCGGGCAGCATTGCAGCACACAAATAGGTTGATCACAATACCAAAGAAGCTCACTTTAAGGACCGTTCCCCACTTCTATCATCTCTTCCCGATTACGCGACACAGCTCTATACGAGCATATCCATGTCTGGGCAGTATTGGCAAGGGGGTGAATCGATGAGCTTCTCGCTACATTGTGCCATACATAAGTCCCGTCACAGCTCACTTTTGGCATCCGTTCTAATCACATTGCTACTACCCACCATGTCACAAAATGCATGGGATCCGCCGGAGACCTTGACATATGCAAGTATCCCGTAATGTATAGCCTCTACAGCAGCTGACCAGTTTGATTAGTCGCAAGCGTTCACAGATTTCATCACCACTTTCAAGCAGCCATCGGTACTAGAAGCGTGTATGCCAGGAAATCCTTTCACGATTCCGCTAGCAGTGAGCGACGTCGCAAAATTATCTGCATGTGTCGCCCACTGGTTAGTTGGCCTTAACCTTGGCCCAGAGGTGCCTTGCGGCATGGTTGCACCAAAGGTCCTTGGAATCATAGCAACCGATAATGTGGCGATTGCCTTGGAGCATGATTTCTGCGATTTCATGGTTAGTTGCGAACTGATCACAATTCGGGAGCTACGAGTTGACATAATGCCTAGAACCTGATACAAACGAATTCGTTTGTGCAGAAAGCTGAAGAGAAGGGCTATCTACCCCGTGGGACCTCGATTACAAAGGAAATCTTGAGCCCTTCTCTTCTCGAATTTGCACATACTCAGGGTTACTCGTGGCTGGTGCGAATAGGTTTCTTCCGACGTCAGACGCGCCGATGCTTCCAATCAAGCGATCGCTATAAACCATACACGCTGCCTAACGGTGAATTACTCGTAAGTCTAACTGAAAGGTCTAGAAATGGAATCCTCTGACCTTCTACTCAGGCACTAGCATTTCGAGAATTCTTTTTCTGGTTAAGCAAGCCGACGATACTTTCCCCTTCCAGCTCTTTGAACCCATTCAACGTATTCATACTACCTCATCGTATACCAACCTCGATCAAACTCGGTGAAAATTCGAATGCAATGCCAGAGAATCATTTACTGGAGCATTATGAGGTGTGCAAAGAACTTACAAGACAGTTCAAGGAGGTTTTGGTTAGAAACTTCTTATTGGTGTTTAGGTCCAGCTAATTTGAATGAGCAGAACCTTTGTACTCAGCCCAATTTGAGGGATCGGCTTGAAGAGTGTGGATATCCGTTACATTGCTGGGGTTCCATCAATTGGAGTCTCATCAAGTCAGTCAGTGTGCCAAAGCCCTTTGCGGAGCCAGACGATTTCTTATTCACTACTCAAATTGTATCATTGCTCGTGCTTGCATGGCAACCTGGATTTTCGCCACCCGTGTGCAAATCCTTATTTTAGCAGGGTACTATGTACCGTAGTAAAAGTACATTCGTTCGAACACTTGGCGTCCCTCAGCCTGCAATATTGTTACTTTAATGTACTCCCTCTGCTCAAAGTCTCCATGTTGACCTCGCTCTCAAAAAACTCTTCGGAATATTAGACGCTTCTCGTGTCGCATCTCTGTCTCTCAGCAAGACGTCTCTTGCGAAGTTTCGCTGACGAGCTTGGATAATTGGAAGACGCATGAGTTCCTACAGCTGGACCTGAAATTTGTCAAGAATTGGCAAGAGCCATTTCACTGTTGCTCCTGCACCGAAATGACTCAGTTTCATCCCCTTCCGAATATGGCATGACGAGCCAGGCGATGGTGAATAATTCTGTCATGATACAAACAGTGGGGGTTTTCATGAACAAAAGGAAGTCTGTAGATCTTTAATGTGATAGTGCTTTCCAGATATTTGTGTTACAACGAATGCACTTGAAGGCTCCATGACAAAGGCCATGTAAACTTCCTGTTCGTGAACTGTAAGTCCATGCTAGATACGTTCTAGCGCCGCCCCTCCTGGATTGGCTTCACATTACCCCTCTCCACATATACAATGCTCTTTCCTCAATCTCGAATTTACTTCCTTACTACAATTTCGTTAGCTGAATTGCAGCACTCCTCTTCGCACTTACATGCATTCAAGAAGAATCTCATTGCACAATGCCTTTTGATGAAGAAAAGATCAGAGCCGACGCGGCGTGTGTGCGCGATATTTCGAATAAAATAGATGAGCTCATGAACCCCCGCGAGTTCGCTAAGGCGGCGTCCGAAGTTTACCAGGAGAGCAAGGCAGCACAAATGCTTCGCGAGAGATTCGAAATGTTCTCATACGAATACGCTGTCACTAGGCCAAGTGAAGACGAGTGCCCGCTTGAACAGCAATGTATTGCCGAAAAAGTGATTGGACGGCCGATACATACCGAATTGAATGCAGTTCTTGCAATCCCGAAGACCCTTATGAAGGCGGAAAGCCGAAAAGCTATCAAGGTTATGTGGCGAATGCACGGAGGAGGCGGGGTAAGAGTGCAAGTAACTACTACGCTTATATCAGCTAAACCTTATAGTCTTGTGGAGAAACATTTTTCGATCCATGGTCATACTACTCGAACGTTCAGTATGTGTTAGAAAAGCCTGACATGATCTTGTTGGAATTCTCCTACAGACTCTGGCCCGAAGCTTCCACTAAAGACCGCTTGAACGACATAGCCAGCATGTGGCGATGGACATTCAACTGCTTGCAACACACCCTTCAATTGATCAACGAACACTTCGTTGTCGACTGGGGTTCTTTCTGTCTCTTCGGTGGGAGCTTTGGAGGAGAAATGGCATTGCGTGTTTGGAGCATGGGTGAAAATCACAGTCAGAAACCTCCCGACTTTTCTATGAGGTCGCTTGTTGCTAATGCTCCTACATCGATGGGATATGCCCGCGAGCCTGGATTATACTTGGGAATTACTATTTCTCCGGAGCGTTTGCAAAGAGACAGAGAGGAATTGGATCGGTTGCTGCAGCTCATGCCATACCGAATTCATCGATCTGAAACCGAAAATGGCGAGAGAATGTTTGGGGGGCCATTATCTTCAATGGGGGTCCCGAGGGAATTGCTAGAGAAACCATCGGCATATCAGATGATTGAGAGAATGCCAGCGGTGCAGCACCGCACTGGCAAGATAACGAATTTCTTGTTCAAGCATGGTGATCAAGACAAACACGTCGACTTCAAGGACTCACACGAAACAGTTGAGCTCCTCAAAAACAAGGGTTATACTGCGAAACTCATACTTCAACCAGGAAAGGGACATGCTGAGGACGTGAGTGAACCCCTTGAGGAAGAAGAGAGGGCCTTTCTTGATTGCTCTTGAGCATTAGATAGAGCCCACTCGGCAAGTCTGTCTTGACTAAGGATCTGGAAGCAATGAATGCGTAGTGCATATGCATATTAGAATGACATAATATGTCTTCAAACCAATGCACGGCATAAATATTCCCCGCGCATCGTCAAGAGCTGTTTTAGCTGCCCCTCACTCCAACGCCTACTCGTGACTCATACCAATCCATCCTACAACCTCTATTCTCTGCGGTACGAGTAACCTCAGAAATTAGCTATGTTCCACCAGTCTGAGCAGACTGACTTGCGACAACCGGACGATCCACAATCCGCGGACGCACGCATGCCAGCAAAGAAAGAGGGTCGAATTACTCTAGCGAGCACTAGCCTCAACGGATTGGTAGATTACAAAGAAGGCAAGCTCTGGATACCAGAAGAACTATCCTCTGACAGTGAAAAGCTCTTGGAGTGCCAAAAGAGCATCTTAACTGCACCTGGCGAACGCGATAAGACAAGGATCCAGCGCTTATGCCTACCTGGATGGCTCCATAAGGACCCAAAGATGGCTCTTGCGGCAATTCGATTTCCTCAGGCGCTCGAAAATGGTCAGAAATTTGAACATATTCCTGTATCTTATTGGTTTGTGGGAAATGATCTCATGGACGCGGTGGTATTGGTTCCTCCGGAGTTATGCTTCGCAACCGATATTGGTGAGTATCATATCAACTTTATGGAGCTTGATGCAAAGTACGGACCCATCCTCGACAGGTGATACTTCCCATACAAAGTCCCCATACCTGGAACCTGACAAGAACCCAGGTGGGAATCGAGACCCCGGGTCATGTAGTGACAGAAAGAGATCTGTGCACAAGGCGGCCCGTAGATCCTATCCTGTAACGCTTGCAGAAGTGGATAATGTATGTCCGTGCTATGGCAGCATACGAATGGAATGGAGTGGACAGTAGCGTATCGGCGAATGACTGCCTCACGCCAGGTGGAATCTGCTCATTTGTCATCTAAGGGGCTTCTACGCTTTGCTGCATACAACTTTTGCTCCCTCTCCATAATTATGTTCCTGCTAATCGAGAACCTCACATCACGGGATATCGTTAAAGAACATGAACCTTAGTCAAATTCTTAATGGGACGGCAGCCCCAGAAGACACCAACATGTCGGCTTTAGCTTACAGGCAGCCGTTGTCTGTACAGGAAATGACTGCTCCCTCGCTACAGTCTCTTGAACAGACACCAGAAAAGTCAGCGCCCCTCTAAGTCATTACTCCATCGTAGATTCAAATCTAACATAGCATTAGCCCCATCTTCGACTCGCGACTGAACGATCCAAATAGGCCCAAAATTGCCTCATTCTATACAAACGATCGTGAAAACAAACCCCACGGCACTACCTCACACTGCGATCTTGTATCAGGACCCGAGTCCTTCGAGTTATACTCTCAGGCTGGTGGCGAGCCTTTGATGGAGCTCCAACAAAAGCTCAGGCAAGCAACCAAAGTGTATGTCGAGACAATCAAGCAAGCAACCAAAGTGTATAGCGAGACAGTACAGAGACTCTCGAATGACTACATAGGACACGGCAGAGGCACGAGCCGTATGGAAGTAGTGCCTGATCCGCAAGACGAACCGATCGAGAATGGAGCCTTTGCCCTTAGCACCACTACGAATACACAGCGTTCAGGAGCAACCATTGGTCTAGCAAGATCTTCAAGTCAAGGAATCACAAAGAACAACAGCTCTCGAAAATATTCTGTGAATGAGATAAGTAAGATCAGCAAGTACAGCAGATGTAAGGAATGAGAGTGGGCTGATGGTATAAGCAGGCGTATCCAGCGTAAAAGGATTCCTGATAGAAGAACGTAGGCGTGTGTTCATGAACAGTTGAAGACAAATATGCGCTCTACTGCCAAGGTAACTCTTCGGATTACAATCTTTTTTCATCACACCACTGAATTACAACTCAAGCAGCACATATTCAGGACAGACATGCTCAGCTGCTCTGCTCAAGATTTTGGATATCTTCAGGACTGGATGACCATCTGGCGGTTCGTCAATTTCTTCTTTTCACCCTCGTGTTTCCGATGCAAGACGTAGATTTCCTTTGAGGCTTGTTCCAAGACCATTTCCGTCACCTCGGCTCTAACATGTTCCTCCAACTTTTTGTACTCTGGGGCCTTGGCTAAAGCTTCGGACAGTTCCTCTAGGCTCATATATTTGAGTGAGGATCTTAAACGGCTGATTACAATTTCCAGAGTACATTTTAGTTTTTCGTATCCGGCCTGTTATATACTTATTAGCTCTTTCATTTTCCATGTCGACCTCTACACTTACCCCATTGCTGTACTCTTGAAGAAATGCCTTATGTATTGAGGCGGTATCAAGGCTGGAAAGAGGGTCTATTTTTAAATTGGTGGAGTCAATCTCAGGCTTCAGAATTGTGCTGGTCATCTCAACTAGTAATAAAATTGCTGCTTAGAAGGTGGTGATGTCAGATAAGTACGTAGGGAACACTTCTAGGTATAATGTATAGTAGTTTTTCAGAAGAAAGCAGAGTTTGTGTCATAGGAAAATACAAGGTGCATGTGATAGGGGCGCAGCCGCCCGCATCCCAAATTACGTTGAGGAGGGGCTGCGAATAAAAAATTACCTGAACAATGCATGCGGTAGAATCTGTACCAATACTCGGGGAGCAGGGTTGTGGGTCCTTATCAGGCATCGAAGCAGACATCTAACTGGGGTTGGTCCCGGATATGCTTGTTGTCGCCGAACTTTTTCTAGAAAGTGACGATCTAGATTCTCTGATCCTGAAATATGCAACTGCAAGGTACCCTTAAAAAGATTAGTTCGCAGGGTGCTGTTGCCTAGGCTTCTGTTGGGCACAGCATAAGACTTGGCAGAACGCAAGCAAAAGGTTCGAGCTGCTCACCTTTCGGGCAAATGCACTGACTCAGTATGCATCCCCTGGAAACGAGATTGGATTATGCCAGCCTCGTCCTTTCTAAGACCTAGGGTGACGTGCCGTCCAACTAAGAGGGCAAGACTGTGCCACCTCGTCATTTTACTTCATACGAAGTTATAAGCATCGTTCAGAACTTCCATCAACGAACGACACACGCTTAAGATATCGTCAAGATAAACGTTGTGATCGTGTCGACGGTAATGGTCCTCGAGGGGCGGTAACAATTCGTATCCGATGATCTTCAACTCTGCAATAGCAAGACCCAAGATATGATGGAGACTTACGAGGTGCTCGCTTTGGCCGAGAGGTTAATGGATGAATAACAAGCGGGGCAGCCATCATGGCAGCAACGAACTGTATAGGTAGGAGGGAGTCCGGAAAGCATAGAGGTTGGCCGCAGATACCCCCACTACGCTACGTAAAAGCTCCGCTAATCTTTTCAGCTCAGCCCCCCAGCGGACAAGCGGCAAGTGCAGAATCTATCTTGATCTGGGCCAATCAGGGAATCCCGCACCGAGTGCGTGATCCAGCTTGATTGGTCTGCATAAGAGCGAAGCACTCACATTTCATTATTGGTCTAAGTTACTTCAAAAGCCCTTGTAAGCCGTCAGTTCCGGCACTTGATCCATGGGCAGAACTTTCAGCGATGGTCTCTAATTATATACATTCAAAGACTGTGCGTTCTGGAGTTGCACGTGATCTCGGACAGAAGCACACATGGCCCGTCATCGCAATATTATAATGCCTCGAAAGCAGGCATAGCAGAGGTGGAGGTAGAGGTATAGGTGGTGAAGGAGCCGTATGGTGCGGTTGTCGAGGACTGAAGCCTGTCTCAGAGAGGGCTCTACGCTTGTTTTTCGAGGACGAGCTCGCTAGGAAAAATTTACATCAGCTTTCACTGGCATCAATGACACATCTTACCGCACATCCTAGTGTGGACAAGTCAAAATTCACATTAGCTCTTGCAGATAATCTTGGGTTTGGGGAAGTCATTCTACGCCACAAACGATGCATCAACGCCGCGCGGGCGGAAAATAGAGGTGAAACCGAAGCGGCCCTCAAACCTACAACTTACAGTTGCTATAAAAGACTAGACTGTTGTTGCTCTCGAACATCACCCTAGAAATGTGGACTGTTTGAAACTGTGGTATCTCAAAATACTGCACCTGGCTGTTAAAACATCGATTCGCATCGATTTATGCACACTGTAACCCACCTTCTGTTCCTTTTTATATATCATTTTGCCTCTGACTGCAATGGCAGTTGAGCTCCTCGCTGTTAAAGCCGCACTAGAGACCATTAGCAGAGCGTCTTGCAACTCACTCATATCAAGCACTCGCGAGCTATGCAAAGCTAATGCTGCTATTGCAAAAGCGCTCTTATATCTTAGTCAAAGCGGTGTTTCTGATACTGATCGAGTAGAAGTTGAAGTTGGGGGTAACATAAGCTCCGAGCATGCCGACCTTGCCAATCTCCAGACGCAGCCTTACACCGCCTCAGAAAATGATACTGCACAGGATGAGGCTCAGAGCATACTGAAGAGATATAAGGCTCAGCGATGCAGACCAGATCATGCAGTAGTGAGGCTTGCGCAGTACTGGATTCAGAGAAAGTTGACGGGATCTAGTTTCTGTAACGTTGGTGATGCAGATGAACACAGACTGTTAGTTGATTTGCGTAAGGCTGTAGTATTGAGCACTCCTGCTGTGCTATCATTACTTAGGGGTATCAAGAGGAAAAGGTCTATTGACAGCACTTGATATAAAAGCAGAAGTGTTCACAAACGTGCCCTATCAAGGTATCTAATGTAGATAACGTGTCTATATTTGAGGTAACCCAGCACCACCCAGATACACACGAAATAGCAATAGGATAGAACACCTAAGAATCATAATGCTCAGAGCTACTGTCTAAAGAAGATCAAGTTCCACAGGTTAATAATATCGTGCGCAACTAGTGATAAGCGGCAGTCAAAGAGTGTTGCAGCAAGCATTCGACCAATAAGGATGCCAAAGAGGGTAGGTTAGTGCAGCTTTAATGATTAATTACCGGTATTCTTCTCTACTCGCGAATATCAACGGTTGTGTCCTTTTTGTTTCATGTGACCAAGCATCACGGCCGCACGGGACGCGGTCCCGTAGGGGCCAATCTTCATTAAGTACCTACTAAAGTAATTTTGTTAATGCATGCCTTAAACCACTCATTGTTGGCAGCTTCGCAGCATCCCGCACGGGACGCGGTCCCGTAGGGGCCAATCTCCATTTAGCACCTACTTAGGTCATTTTATTGATGCATGTCTTAAACTATTCATTATTGGCAGCTTCGCAGTATCCCGCATGGGACGTGGTCCCGTAGGGGCTAATCTTCATTAAACACCTACTTAGACAATTTTATCAATGCATGCCTTGAACTATTCATTATTGGCAGCTTCGCAGTGTCCCACACGGAATTTAAATTAAGCGGGCATCTTGGAGAGCTGATGCAGAACCTTGCATTAACAGTAGTAAGCCGCAAGGAAAGTGGATACAGAGGTTCGTCTTTGGGCCTACATGAACCTTGCATGGCTTATTTGCAATCGTCTAACTGCTGAGTTTATCTCTAACAACTCACCCATATTATTAGGCTCGTGAGCTTAGAATGCCTTGTCGCTACTAATGCCGATGCGCTCTTCTCAACTAGTAGAAAGACCTCTAGCGAGCACTTCTGACCTTCAGGTCCTTCTAGTATAGCCTTTCAAGTATATAAGAGTGTGCTAAGATTAATTTACGTAGTGTATTTACAAAAGACAAAAAAACTGTTCTGTTAGTAGGGCTTTGTACTAGCGCTGAAAGGAAATAACGATAACTAGGTAGGCATTCTGTTCAGTGATGGTTGTTTATTTATTGATCTAAGCGGGGATACTACAGAGGTGTATCCGATCTGATACGAGTAATTAGGGCTAGATTAGGATCGAGTCGGCTTGTTGGGCAGCGTTCGGTAGCTGACGTTCTTGCTAATACTTATAATCCGACAAGTTCTTTGTTACGATTCAAAGCTAAACAAGATATCTCTAGTTGGGATGCTAAGGTCTTAGTGCCCTGCTGCTGTTGAGGTCGAAATGGCAGCAGCAGTCTGCTCTCTACCCCTAGCTTTCTTAGATTTCAGAATTCCCAGGGGTTTTCTTTTCTTGGCTCTTGTACTTGGAATGGCTGGTTCTACCTCAGTCCCAGGCACGCAACGGCGTTTATTCGCGATCTCTCTTGTAGCATCCCCTCGCTTTCTTTTGCCATGTCTGGTAGAGTCTTCTCCCAGGGCTTGGGTAGCGGCTTGCTCAAAAATTACAGCAGCCTGATGCGGTTGTGGAGAAGACGCTGCTGCTGTACTTAAAGCGGGAATTAATGCTGCTAGCACGGAGTTGCGCCCGATAAATATCGTCCGATCTGCCTTAAGACGCTCGAAAAGATAGGCAGGCTCTGTACTGGTGAGATGCGTTCCTAGGAAAGTAATTGCATGATACTGTTCGCTACCAAATACTGATTCAGCTTGGCGTAGAGAATCAGCTATCTGAGGTATTGCCTCCTCAATACTTTGGCTTATATCAAAGCCATACCCGTGTGGTTCGCCTTCTTCAGTAGCAGCATAGGCAAGGAAGATCTCATACTGATTTCGATCATTGGACCCCGCTGCCCGAGTATAAAGTGTCAGACTATCTGAAGTTGGCTCGTCGTCACTGTATTCGATGTCCGACACGGTCGTGGCCTCTATTGCAAGAGGAGCCTGTACTTCTTCTGCTCTCAGGACTGGTTCGTCTAACGTTCGACTGTCTAAAGCGTTTCTTAGTTCTCGTCGGAGCCGAGTACATGTAGACTCAAGCTCCATATTTTCCTCCGACTGTGCTTTCCATCGATGAATCAAATCTTGAAGTTGTCCTTTGACTTTCTCGCAGCCATGGTGATCTTTAATAAAACAACAGTATGCGTCGTTTAGTTGTTGGTATTTTGATGTGTACTCTTCTAATAGGTCTTGAATCTCTGCATTCTTACTCTCTAAATTATCAATCTTTTTGTGTTGCGAGTTAGATTTGCTCACGAGTGTCTCGTGCTGAAGCGACAAGCTCTGGTACTCCTGATGAAGCGTCGCATAATGTAATTGCAGTTCAGTACGCTGGGCATCTGGATTTGGTGGTTCAGGCGGAATATCAATATCCATAACGTCTTGGACTGATACAGGAGCAGTTGTTGGTACTCCAAAGTCAGCTGTCTAGGGTTATGTTAGAAAGGTCTTGTGCTACACAAAGGATGGCATACCTGGAGTTCTAGAGAGATAAAAATGCACGAGAAAAGATCGCGACGCAGTAGTCTCAAATTCGTGTCCTCGCATGGCGGGCCGCTATACAGCTGTGGAAAGAACATTATCTCTTTCTCTTTGGTGAGGTCGTGCTCAAAAGGGCGACCACTTCGACGATCGACGCTAAGATGTGGGAGTTTTAAAACAGGTTCGCATGTCTTAGCACTCTCATCGGATCGGACCGCTGTTAAGACTCTCTGGACATGGTCACTAGAGAAGTTGGAACACATTGGATTTGCTTTGCGAAGGTATTCCAAGGCGAGTTGTGAATGATAAAGTTCCTCCTTCGCTACAAGAGCTTGTGCGTGTTTTATTTGGAAACCCCGAGAAATGGCAAATTTTGCTAGATGTTGCCAAGCTACTGGATTGGGTCCTTTCACATAGGGCTTTGGTCCTCCTATCTCCTTTCTCGGTGTGCACGCTGTCAAGCCATCAAAGTGACGGCTACAAAATGCCCACAGCTCCGTGTATGCAACCATCATTGCGTCTTGCTGGCTGAGCTCGACTTTGATCTCAACATCTTCAGTCTCATTAAGCTGCACCATATTCTTGCTAGGAGCGAAAAAGAGTCCTGTAAGACTTGACCGTATTGTGCGTTTCATCTGTTCACCCAGCAACCGTCTAAGTGCTTCGCAGAGAGGCTCCAAATACTTCAATGTCTCGAAAAAGGTCCATAGTGACGGAATCACGCCAGGAAGATTACATATGTTTTCCACTAAGATTTTTCGTATGCCACGGTCACTCTGCGAGGGAAATATTTTTCCATGTTCCATAAGACTGATAACCCGGCTCTTGTCCATGTCGGAGTGCTTAGGAGCCAGAAGCTCGAGGCTTTGTACAGTAATGGCGTCAACAGCCGAGGGAGGCAAAATGGTGTCACCACAGCGTAAGATCCTCTTCCACGCCTTTGCGATATGATCTAAGTAAAGCGTCATTTCCTATGCTTATTAGGAAGCTTCTTGTTATGTCTAAATGTATCCATACCTCGTCGCACTTCAAGACTAAGAGCCTGTGAAGCGCTCCAAGTTGCAATTTAGCCCATAGTCCTGGCATGTCAATCAAGGCATCGAAGCCGGCAGCAAGTGAAGGTCGTCTAAAAAGTTGCCGCAAATCCTTAGGCTTTGACTTCTCTAGGCACGACCACCACCTTTTTAGGGCTTCTTGGTCGTTTTCTCGATGATACAATCTAATCTTGCGGAATATCTCGCCATCTGAAGGCCTTAATTCGTTAGAGTAGGACTCAATGATACGAACTAACACCGGCTTAGGCGTATCTGCTCTCACATTAGTAGAAGCAAGGGTGTATTTGTTTCTGAACTAACTGTGGGAGAACAATCTTACGATCCACCATTTATCATTCTCGTCTAGAAAACGTCGAGCGGCCTCAATGCGGTGCATACCAGAAAGGCAGTGCACGTTCTTTGGACGCAGGGCAGGTGCATCTTGTGGCCATCGGAGGCTGCACATGTCATCTAATGACATGCCGTGTAAGGACAGTGCTGTAACTAGGTCATCGTCCTCAATGACAGCATTTATGACATTCTCCTCTTGCAGCCGTGAGCAGCCCACTTGCTCATAGATTTTTTCTAAGCGTATGACATTCTTATGAGAGAGATCCCGATGTTTGTCCAGCACGATCCTGTGTCCAAAACGTAAAGCGTGCAGTGGTACCCGGGCGATCCCTCGGTAACACATCAACTTTGTCGCAGCAAAATTCCTGTCTAGCAGCTCCATAAGACAGATTCAATCTCAACCTCGAAATGACCTGAAGTGAAAGAGACTCTGTGTCAGGCAAGAGCACCAGAGAGCCACATGAAGTCACGATGTTTAAGCGCCAAGCAATTTACGCTCTATGTCAGGTGTGCAAGGACGTAGCGGACGTGATGGAGGCAGAAGGTTGTTGTATTGAGAGATCTACAGTAAGCCATCATGATTTTATACACAACCAAGATGAGTAATCATGTGACTAAACAGTCACATGAGAGATGCAGGTCACAGTATACCATGTGAACCGAGGAGCCAGGCAGACACTTCTTGTGTGTGCCGCAAGGGTTCACGCTAGTCGTAATAGTTGCCGTGTAATGAGCTGCGGCGGGACCGAATAATATTACCACCCCACGAGAATGAGTTTGCGAGGCCATCCGCAATAAGTGCTTGGACAAGCTTTTGTAGCTTATAGCATTGACGCTTGCATACATATTGATCGAGTTCAGCTTAGGCCGCTTCTAATCATTTTGTAAATGCGATCGTAAAGCTGGCAACACGCATCAACAGATACTTGTATCTACCTAAAACGTCGCGAGAGTTCAGCTGATGTCGAAGACAGGATCTCCAACTACTCAAAGATGCTGAGCCGTACTTGTGTGCGGAGAATGAGGTTGATCTTTTGATTTGACACGTGAGCATATCGGTAGGAGCAAGCGCCGACAGTGTGCACGGAGCACAAGGGGATTCCTCACCCTTGCGACCCGTGCGCTGAAGACGCGTTTGTTATTCAACTTACGTTGTTAGTTGTGAGACTGAGATCATATCTCCTGTCTTGCGATGACACGCCGCCATCCTGCAGAAAGCGTCTCCATCAGCTCGATGATCAGCGACACGAAGGAGCTTCTTCGGCAACTTGAGGAAGTAGAATCGGTAATAACCCACCACGAACGCGCTCAGGGCGGAGCCAAGCAAAGAGCAGCTGCGAAGCAATCGATCGATAAAACGAAATTTGTAGCAATTTTCAGGGAAATTTCTCAAAAAGCGCAAGCATACATCGCCAGATTCGAAAAGCAGGGGACACACCACGACGAGTCGCACGACGAGACACACGACGAGACACACGACGAGACACACGACGAGACACACGACGAGACACACGACGAGACACACGACGAGACACATGAGGAGCCACATGAGGAGCCACATGAGGAGCCACATGAGGATATACACAACGGGCCACGCAAGCAAAGAAGTTCAGTGGGACATCGAGCATTGTCGGAATGCGGCACAAGGGCTTTGGATCTTCGTCTTCCATGCCAGCTTTCACAGCTCGGAAGAAACATGGTCAGCACCATCCAGGAAGCGCGAGATAAACTACTTCTCCAAGATGTCAACGAGCGCGGATATCTCATATTGGAGGTGCAGGAGACCTGGGATGCGTCAGAACTTACCAAGCTCCTACACACTGCAAAAGCACCTGGTCGTGACGAGATCAAAGGTTTCAAACTCGCTCGAGGAACCTCCGACTGCCTACACGCGCAAGTGGCCAGAAATATCTCACTCAGCCTACAGGATATTAAAGGATTCAGCGAAGCACGTGCATCTATTCAGCCGAAGATGGAGTTTGAGGAGTGGATAGCAGAACCACCTGAGTGCGTTCAGTATCTCGTCTGCGAACCATTGGCTAATCATGCAGTCAATCGTCTGCTAGATGCTGGCTCACAATGCAATCGTCGGCCTGAAATTCCCGGTGTCAATCGTCCCTACTGGTATGTTAGTGGGGGGCCCAATACACCAGCGACACTGCATATAGAAGACGGCAATACAGGATCAGCAAACTTGCTATTGGCAGGTGCCGAAAAACACTGGATCATTGTTCCTCGCAGCAGTGCTGATAAGCTCGAGTCCTGCATAAGAGAGCAGTATCCAGCCTCAAAATTGTGTTCGCAATTTTTGCGACACCACGATGTCATTGTAGGACCTCGCTGGCTCGAGGCAAGGGGTATCCACTATGAGATTGTATGCCAGAAACCGGGAGATCTCTTAGTTACCCTGCCAGGACGAATTTATCATGAGGTCCGGAATACTGGGAGGAATTTCGCCATGGCTATCAATTACGAGTTCCCAGATGCTCCTGACGAGCCAGCCGGCTACGTTTGGTGTGAGAATGGAGAAGGAAAATGTGGCCAAGGTGTGCTTACTCGTGCAAGCTTCATGCCTACTACCTCAGACCGAGCCTTTGATACTGAGAATGAAACGCCTGAGGATGAAATGCCTCATCTGATAAAGAAGCGGATGCATTCAGGAGTGGAATCTGCGAGTAAAAGACTCAGAACTATGGCCCCGCTCCGTCGTCGGAGGACCACAAGACCTGTTCAACGCATCCTGCGACTGTCGCGCGTACCAACACCAATTTCGACACTTGCACCAGTCCCAAATAGTCTACCGCATGTCATACTTAGCGCCATACTTAGCAAAGCAAGTCTGTGGAACTGCGCAAGACTAGTCGCAATGTGGAGGTTGCAATCGACCCGAATTGAGCTTGCTCCTGAGTCAGAAGACAAGATTTCGAGGCTTGCTGCGTTGGACAAAAGAGTTTGTCTTGCCCAGAGTCGCAACTGGCTGTATACTCTCATGTCTAGACTGGCGCAATTTGATATGGCTTCTGCCCTGGACTCTAATCGGCAGGGCGCGATCCGTCTCGACGGTACGGTATATGACAAAGTCCTTAAAGAGCAGGGGCTCAACGATGTCACTAAAAAAGACCGGGATAAGTTGAAGGAGCGTGTGAAGAAGGCGAGGAAATTTTTCCAAATTTGCCAAGAATTCGATCGCGGGCTTCTTTGTCTGCTGCCGTTTATGGAAATATCGGAAAACCAACTTTCCAATATGACTACCGCTGAAATCGAGGAATTTCACGTTCTGGCAGCCGAGAAGAAACTGGACATAGCCGGTCGTTGTAAAATCGGGATATCGATCCAAGACATGTTCACGAGGGATGTCGAATTCGCTTTCGAGAAAGAGGACCTTACCGCTTTCGACCGCCTCTCCGAACGTGAGATGGTCGCCCTCCTACAGCCTGTCGCTTATCCAAAGGTCAACTCATATACGCCTGACAGCGCTTGGCCAAAGCCACCGTCCTGGCCGTGGGAGTGGCCCATGGATCCCACATGGGCACCCCTTGCTGCTTGCGAGATTTGCAGCTTGGAAGGCTGCATCTGCCTTTCCAATTTAGCCCAGGACCGCCATCGCATTGTCGATTACGGTCCAAAAGGACGCGGAATACAAGCTCGAGGAGCCTTGAGTGGTGGCTTGGCTTTCAGTGAAGGCGAGTATATCCAGGAGTTGGTCGGTGAGGTCAAACCGCTAGAGTGGTCCGATCATCGGTACAGATCTGTCGACTTTAAGAGGCCAGACATAGGCATGACTTGTCGACTGTACTGCGAGGAAGAGAGCAATTGGGCTAGGCTGGTGAATCATGCTTGCGATCCATGTGCGGAACTCACTGTGAAAGTCACGCGGGGCAGGGCAAGAATGATGCTCCGAGCACGACGAGATATATGGGATGGTACGGAGATCACGGTGGATTACGGGGAAGCATTTTCTGCAGATGAGGGATGTTTGTGCGCAACATGCAGCAAGAGTGCTGTACTGACAAAGGACAAGGGCTGAAGCGATGGCTGTGCTCAGAAGTCAATGGCCAGTTGGACACGGCATCTTCCCTATACATATTCCAAAGCAGCTTATCAATTCAACACCATTCTTGAGGACAAGGCTAGAAATGCTCAGTTCTCCACCACGAAAAGACTAAGCGTATACTATGCAATGCGATGCGGTGGGAGTTGCCGTGCTGCTCGAAACAGTCATGTTTCTGGCAAGTCGAAGACGTAATTCCATTGTTGCACATGCAATTAGCTGCCTATCTCTTTCAAAGTATCCGGTACTCCTCCTATACTGGGATACCACGCTGGACCCACCAACGAGTTGTCGCAGTCACCATCGCTGGACGGTCAGGCTACAAATGCCGATCTGAGAAAAGGATGAAAATGCCTGTAGAACATGCACCACAGACTTAGCTCGATTCCAATGGAAGCAACGTCGTTCAGACGATCGGTAAAGACACAGCGATTTGAAGATGTGATTGGTGCTCTACAGTCTCTCCAAGCTGTGTTTGAACAGAAGTGAAGCTTGAATAGGCTATCAGTCATAGGCACGATCATCTAGTGCTTTACCATCGTACCTCTGATGCACAACCTGCCTGCTTAACCGGATTGTGTTGGAGCGACAGAGTTAATACGCGAAAGCGTTGCCTAAGAGTGCGCTTTGGATAAACAAATCCTGGCATCGCATGTTGATCTTTGACAAGTCTAGTTTCAAGCCTGTAGACACAGGAAGAATGAGCTTAGCACTTAACATGTAAAGCTCCAGCTCTTTGCTGCTGTGCTTTATTAGGATGGTCTCATCTGAGCGGCATCACTGTAACCCTAGGCTACCAAAAATAATTAAACAAGCGGTCTCGACCTAAGCGCAATTGTTATGGCCACGCATTTCCGCCGCATCAGTATAAAATGATAAACCTATTTAACTATACTGTTCCCCAGTATTATCATAGAAACGTCACCTGTGTTATCCATTCTTTCTCCGCTCCGCATGGCACCTCGAAGCAGTAGCTCCATAAACTTCGTTGTAATGATACTGGTGTGCGTTATCATAGCAATCTTATTACTACTTTATCTGCTACATTGGTGTCACCAGAAGCGTAAACTGCTTCAGAGGGATGTCACAGACGATCACAATAACAGTTCACGGCCAGTAGCAGAAGACTAGTAGTTCAATGCGAGATGTCTAGTGCGATAGATGATGTATTCCGGGAGGTGTACGCAGCTCAAACCCTTGAAATTTGGCACGCAGCAGCTTTGGAGATACTTCTCCTTAGGCTTACGCGTGACGAACAACCGTCCTCCGCAACATATGAAAGACGACGCCTCATCGATCCAAATCATTCAATTCCAAATGTCCTGTGTCAAATCACCAGCGATCTGTATCCGGAACAGACGTTGTTCAATGTGTTTTAGTCCGAAAAGGGGCTTTTCTGCTGCAACCCGTCGATAATAGCTCTCCTTATTAATTAGATGCCTTTATAAGTGTACGCTGGTCGACATGTATCCTGAGGTTGTGGGCAACCTCATTCAGTTGCTTGAGCCGTTGCTTGCAAGAGGCTGTAGCATGAGAGACAAGACGATGGCGTAGAGGAGTATTTAAAAGAGGCAGACGGCCACGAGGTCTTTTGGGCGTAATTTGGTCACAAGCACCATTAAGGTATCTTAACGTAGGAGCCATCTTTGCATCCTGAAACACTTTGTACTCATGAATTATAAACAAATCTCTAACGTCACCTACTGCGAAATGAGACACACATGGTGATGAGACACTTTTGCAAAAAGAACTTGAATTATAACTCTAGCGCAAGAACATCGGTCTAAGAAGATAGTGGATCGTTCTATAGCATTTATTTGTTCCTATGCTAGCTTGTGACCGAGATCCTGGCGATGTTGTTGAAGCTGTCGATCATTTCGTTGGCGCTCTTTAGGCTGTGATTTTCTTCCTACCCCTACGTCATAAGTCCTTAAGGGACTAATCAGTATTTCGGAACACAGAAACGAGAGTCGTGGTTATGAAGATTGTATACATGGAGGCTCGTCGCGATGAGCAGCTTTATAGCCCTGTTCCGGGAGTTTCTCCGTGCCCTCACTAGTAGTGGGACAAATTAGCCGTATTTTATCAACCAAGAACGTACTTATGTAATCAATAGTGCGCCACAGGCTACGCCAGATCTAGACGTAACTAAAAATAAGCTACGGCTTATGCTCCTAGTGCCCCTCCTTTCTTGTAAACGTGTCCTGTGTCGCGCGGCAACGGCCGGCCTGCAGGAGGCCGCCGCCGCAGCTAAATCTACTGGAAAACGTGGAAGAAAGCGTAAGGGTACAGCAGGACAAGAGCCTCGGGCTAAGGTAGCGAGACAGGGTGAAGTATGTATTGAAGGTCAGGTTGCGTCAGCATGGAGGGCTCCGGAGGCGCCCATGCTGCACAATAGGAGTGTTTGATGCAAGTTCAGTGTTGAATAAGGTGCGTCCCCGAGGGACGAGACACCGTGTCCCGAGATATGTTCCCAGTTGGGACTCCCGGACTATTTCCTACGCAGGTTTGCAGAGCTGTAGTACACGCAATATGATAATATCAGCATCGCTCCATAATTCGACTACCTTCTAGTGGAGTGCATTGTAGTGTTGGCCTCGCTGTCAATCATCTTGTCGAAGCGGTTAAATGACCCTTCCGCGATCAACCCTGTTTATTTGTGACTTTGAGCGCCACTCCTAAGTGTGAAGTGCGATTAACAAACAGAAGATTTATAAGTTTTAAAGGTCACTCCGACTAAGGAGCGTGCATGCCGAAGCTTCCGTACAGCGAGTAAGGAAAACGCGAGAAGTGACCTGAGTTAACGAGTCGCGCTACTGCATCTCAGCATACATTAGTTTCCAGTGCTTGCTCAGATATCCGCGCTGCTGTGGCGCATGGCGGCTGATGCTTCTAGAAGTATACAATCCGGCCAGTGTCTCTTTGCTAACGGTGGGGGAGGGAAACAGACCGCTTATGCTTGTTACCCAATGATGTCGTGGTTTTGAGTGTATCCAAAAATGACTGTGTTTGTTACACTATTCGCACATGAGCTCTTAATTTCTCAACACATCTGGTTCGAACCATGCCGACTCCGACCCTCTTGTACTCGCCATCTTCCCCTGTTGGCACAACAACCAGGATGTAGTAGTGGTCCTTGCTAGCTTTCTCCTCCGCCCTTCCAACCACAACACATAGTTCTTCGTGCTCTCTTCTGCCGCTTTTAACATCATAGTGGACCCATCCTCTTTTCCCTCCAAAGAAATTGGAGATGGTGTAGCGATCACCGCCTGGCTTTAAAGTGCATTTCCGGAACTTTCCCACGTCGGCATTCAACGCAGCAGAGTCGCGCTCGTCGTCGAAAGCCAGTTCATCAGCCCAGCTGACTGAGCCGATCTCAACCTCCATAAATCTAATGCCTCCGCTACATGCCATCCATGACCACGATGGTATGTGTTGGTCGTTGTCATACGCAATGCGCTCCATCTCTCTGTTCGACGCCTGCCACAGGAGGTTCCGGTGGAGATGTTTCTGAAAGATGCCGTGTCTGCTATTGCATTCTAACGCGCGTGCAATACGGGCCTCTAACCCAGATACTGCAACGCATCTGTCGGTGTCCTTAGTGAGTCCACGCTTCGAGTAGTTCTCGAACAGAAAGTGGATGAACTCCACAGTACGTTCTTTGCCTGACTTGAGGAGACGATCTGGAAAGCTTGGGTCTAGCGAGAAATAAACCTTTCGCTGTGAGCTGAAGACGGGGGTGTCTAGTCAATTATATGTTAACTCAGATAGAGTAGACTTCTTACCTTTCCATCTTCGTAAGATTCTCACAGTACACCCCTTCTCCACACTCCCAGTATGTTTGATCGGCGCTGAAGTGGATAGTCCGTTTTGCCAAGACCCTCTCTTGCATAACCCAAGCTCGCTTGTTAAGCCTGGCTTGTTCTACATCCTTCTCAAAGTCATCTATATGGGAGCAGATATAGACTTGATTACCTGCGGCGTCTTGAACACGCACGTACTCAGTGCTTATGTTTCGGGTGAGGAACCCTGCGTTTGAATCGACAGCCGAAGTTGCAGCAATTGTGCAGTAAGCTGAAGCGAATACGTCCTCCATACGACCAGCTTCGCACTCCCAATCTTCCGCGTTCCACTGGATGATGCACAGTGAGTCAATCCAGAGATACTCGATACCTAACTCCCGGGTCACTCGCACTGCATCTTGAAATGTCTTTGGTAGCTCCGAGAGGCTAAATCTGTTTAGTCGTGCACTGATGTTGCCATCAGTAGTGCAGTATCGAGGATCGCCCTCTGAAGGGGGTTCGTTGCCCCAGCAGTGAGACAACGCAGTATACTTAACGCCTTTAGTTCCCTTGGGGAGGTAGAGATGGAGAACTTCTGCATCGGCATGTCCAACATAGATCAGCCTCGTTGGTGATGCCCCTTGGGATCTGACGTCCTGTTGGTTGCAAGCGTGGGTTGTGTTGCACCATTCGAGCCAGGTTCGAAGGAGCACGAAGCGTGCAGCGCTCACAGGATCAGGTAGAGCCGGGAAGCCGATTGGGATGTCCTCTCTTTCTAGGCGTGGGTACTCTGTACTCAAGGCATGTGGTAAGCAAACAGTGATTTTAGCACACCATAGTAACTAGGGACACTAACCCACGTCAGAACAAAGCCTTAGAATACGCGGACCCTCATAGCCAAGTCGCAGTGTCGCGCCTTCTCGGACAATACTGGGATCAACGTTTACGTCGTCATGAAAGCGTTCGACGACTTGGACCAGGAATCTGCAGAGCATGCAACTTCTTGAGGCGACGCGCGTCTCAGAGAGGCGAGCTTGAGGACGACGCCACTGATCGAATACAGAATCTACGAAGATACTGCAACAGGCGCAGGGGCGAACAGTGCTAGAGTGGTCCTCTAGTGTACGCTCTGGCAAGGCCCCGCCTAATTTTCTAGCGAAGTCGTTATCGAAAGTAAAGGACCAGTCTGGCTATCCGAACGTCATTGTAATTCGCGCCAGGTGTTCGTGACACACCAAAAGGGACTTACAGGCTATACCACCAGGCACAGTGAGGTTAGCAGCCGCCTTCCGCATTTAACTTCGTACGCCAACTTACATTCTGCACCACCAGACATACCAAGGTTAGCAGCCGCCTTTCGCATCTACGTTCGTAGGCTAACTTACCTACTACACCACCAAACACACTAAGGTTAGCAGCCGCCTTACGCATTCACTATTGTAGGCGAACTTATAATCTACACTACCAGACACACTAAAGTTAGCAGCTGCCTCGCATATCTATATTTGTAGGTTAACTTACATACTACACTACCAGACACACTAAGGTTAGCAACTACCTCCCGCATCTACGTTTGTAGGCTAACTTACATTCTACACTACTAGACATACTAAGATTAGCAGCTACCTCGCACATCTACCTTTATAGGCCGACTTACCCCCTACACTACTAGACACACTAATATTAGCAGCTGCCTCGCACATCTACATTTGTAAGCCAACTTATAAGCTACACCACCAGACACACTAAGATTAGTAGCCGCCTTACGCATCTGCTTTTATAGGCTAACTTACTTTCTATAGTACCAGACACACTAAGGTTAGCAGCCACCTCCCGCATCTACGTTCGTGGGCTAACTTACATCCTACATTACTAGGAACACTAAGATTAGCAGCCGCCTCGCACATCTACGTTTATAGGCTAACTTACCTACTACACTACTAGACACACTAAGATTAGCAACTACTTCCTACATCTACGTTTGTAGGTTAACTTACATTCTACACCACTAGGCACACTAAAGTTAGCAGCCGCCTCGCACATCTACGTTCGTAGATCGACTTACATCCTACACTACTAGGAACACTAAGGTTAGCAGCTGCCTCGCACATCTACGTTTATAGGCCATCTTACCTACTACACCACCAGACACACCAAGGTTAGCAGTCACCTTACGCGTCTACCTTTATAGGCTAACTCACTAGCTACACTACCAGACACACCACAGTTAGCAACCGCTTCGCGCATCTAGGTTCGTAGGCCAACTTACATCCTACACCACCAGACACACTAATATTAGCAGCTACCTCGCACATATACTTTTATAGGCTAACTTACAAGCTACACCACCAGACACACCAAGGTTAGTAGCCACCTTACGCATCTACTTTTATAGGCTAACTTACTTCCTACAGCACCAGACACACTAAGGTTAGCAGCCGCCTTGCGCATCTACGTTTATAGGCCATCTTACTCACTACACCACTAGACACACCAAGGTTAGCAGTCACCTTACGCGTCTACCTTTATAGGCCAACTTACTGGCTACACCACCAGACACACCACAGTTAGCAACCACTTCGCGCATCTAGGTTCGTAGGCCAACTTACATCCTACACCACCAGGCACACCAAGGTTAGCATCTGCTCTATGCCTTAATGTCTATAACTTTACTTACCTCCTACACTCATGTTAATCAGCATTAACGTGTAAAACATACAACAGTCTAGTTACCTTCTACATGTCTATTATTAGCTATAGTTTAAATTATACTCGTGTTCTAGGCATACCTTGAATGAGTTTTCGTCCCACGTCTTATTATACATTGCTGCAATTCTAGCTGTTAGAAATGAGTGGAAAACGTTGAGAATTGCTTGCTAGGCTTAGTGCTGTGGAAAGCGGGGTAGTTTAATCGGCTGCTGCCTAAATCATCGCGGGTTGGCGGGGCAGCTGGTGGCTGGATCACTAACTTAACTTGGGCGCTTGCGGGCAGTCTCTAGTGGCACGACAGCCACAGACACACCTGAGCACGCTACTGCAGCCCCCTGCATACTAAGCGAAGCTGTTCTATGAGACGAGACTTGGCGATCTTGCCATCTACGCGGAGAAACAGCCAACATGCATGTTCTTTATCTTAAGTTGACCTTTAGAGCCTTCAGTCTCTATCTTTAGCAACTGTACTTCCTATCTACCACTCCGAACGCTCTACAAACTTGCGCCGTCGCGGATGAACAGGGGTACTAGCAGAAGGTTAATGGACGCTATTGGCAGAACGACCGGTAGGACGTCCACCACCACGCTCTCTCTGGTCGGAGGCCACTATAATGGAAGAACTACAGCTGTGGAACTGCATCGCGTCAAGCATGAGCTTTGATAGGTTCTGTGGCGCGATTCCGAAGGTCCGGCCAAAAAAGTGTCTCGTCACGTACCGTGCTGCCCGGCGTAACGCCCGCTTCGATCACCAAAATCGCGACAGCCACCAAAGTTCAACCCGCGATAACTCCATCAATATGAGCCCAATTGAGGCTGCGCTTGCAGCTAGTAAAGCGCTAGAGCCTGGCGAAAAACTTGTATATTCTCAAATTGCAGCAAAGTTTAGCGTTAATCGTTCAACGCTCGCGAGCTCACGCAGCACTAAGGCTCAAAACCAGCAAGCACTCCACCCCCAGCAAGAGCAGGAGCTTCTACGCTATATCGAACGCCTGACAAGGCAAGGCCTACCTCCTACACGGCCTATGATACTACGCTTCGCTTCAGATATCGCAAAAAAAAGAGCTTGGAAAAGGCTGCGTTGATCGCTTTGTCCAGCGCTATCAGGTTGATCTCATCTCACGCTGGGCGACTGGGATCGATCGCTCACGCCACCAGGCTGATTCAGGATTGAAATATAAGCTCTACTTTGATCTCTTAATAGATAAGATCAGCCAATATAATATAGAGCCTTGTAATATATACGATATGGATGAGAAGGGCTTCATGCTAGGAGTACTCACTCGCTCAAAGCGGATATTTAGCAGGAGACTATATGAGGAGGGGAAGATTAAGGCTCACATCCAGGATGGCAATCGCGAGTGGATAACGCTGCTAGCCTGTATATGCGCTGATGGATCTTATATTGAGCCGAGCCTCATATATCAGTCAGCCTCTGGCTCGATACAGGATAGCTGGCTGCAGGCCTTCGATCTTAACGATCACCGAGTTCACTTCGCCTCATCACCCTCAGGCTGGACGAACAACGAGCTAGGCCTAGCCTGGCTCAAACAAGTGTTTGATCGATCAACGAAGCCAAAGGCTAGGCGGAGCTATTGATTACTTATCCTTGATGGCCATGGATCTCATCTTACGATGGATTTTATCGAGTACTGCGATCGCAATCGAATCCTCCTCGCAATCTATCCACCCCATTCAACCCACACTCTCCAGCCGCTTGACGTTGTCATGTTTAAGCCGCTCTCGTCAGCCTACTCAGCCCAGGTAGCTAGCTTCATGGAGAGGAGCCAAGGGCTCACATCTATGAGCAAAAGAGACTTCTATCCCATGTTTATAGCTGCCTGGGAGGCCTCGTTCAAGAAGGATACTATACTCAAGGCCTTTGAGGCAACTGGCCTCTCACCTCTCGAGCCAGAGGTGATACTCAAACGATTCAATCAGCCAGCTCAATCAGGCCAGTCAAGTGACAGCGACTCCTCAGCCTTAAGCGCCTCTGATTGGAGGAAGATTAGGCAGCTTGTTGATCGCGCTGTAGCTGAGAGAGACCAGAGAAAGATCTCAAAGCTTAACCAAACGATCCACCAACTCTCAATCAGATCAGTACTAGCTGAGCATGAGAACGTGAGACTCAAAGAGGCTCTCATTAACGAGAGGCAGCGTAGAAAGCGAGGCAAGGCTCTCCCTCTAGGGGCAGGCGAGGACTATCACGGTGTGGCTGTATTCTGGTCTCCAAGGAAGGTGAAGGAGGCACGTGATCGCCAGCACCAACAAGAGCTCGAGGAGGAGCAACAACGACTTCAAAAAGCAGAGATAGCTCGCGATCGCGAGGAGCAAAGGCTAGCCAAGGCTCAGGCTATCGAATCAAGGCGCCAGGCTAGAGCTGAGGCTAGGATATCAAGGCAAGCAGAGAAGGCTCGTGAGGCTGCAGATCGAGCGTCACGAGCCGCGGCTCGTAGAGCTCAACAACGACTCCAACAAGCTCACAAAACTTCCCAAAAGGGCAAGAAACGTAGCCTCAAGGCTTCTATAAAGGCAGCTTCAAAAAAGAGAGCTGCTGCGCAGCCTCAGGCTAGTAGTGAGGCTGCAGGTGCTGCAGTAGGCCCACTACTATCTCAATCACGACACGGCCGAGCAATTAAGCTCCCATCAAAATACAGATAGCTATATATATCAATTAAGGCCTCCAGAACTCAACACTAGAATACATCGTGATAATAGCTATCGTACGTGGCTCAGTAGCTTCATGTTGGCGTGTTGATTTTGGTGATCGAAGCGGGCGTTACGCCGGGCCGGGCGTTACGCCGGGCAGCACGGTAGGTGTATCGTTACCTTCGGACGCACCTTAGAACTTTTTCGGGCTAATCAAGACAGCTTATTTCCCAGCTACTCTAGACTTCTAGGCAGGGATGACTCCCCTAGCTAAAAAGCACAGCCACCTGCTGACGGTAATCTACTACCAAGAATTATGTAATATTCGATACCGGCTCATCGTCCGTGCAGATCACGTTTTCTCCTCGCTAAAGTTCTAGGTACCGACCAGGGTGGCGAGGTCGCATAATCCTGCATTCTGCGGCAGCCATACAGGAGATAAGAGCTGGTAGATATGCAGGTAGATCAAGTACCTGGTAGTGAACAGATTTGTCGAGTTTAGAGTTGCGATGAGCTACAGGGTGGTGATGTAGACTATGGTATTCACAATAGCCGAATGAGATGCTTATGTTTATAAGACGTAAAGAACTACCATAGGACTTGCAATTTTCAATTTAGAAACGCGAGACTAATTCCGGAGAAGCTCTTTTATATTATTGCTGCATATGAATTGAAATCGTAGACGTTAATGTATTATAAATATGACTTAAGTTCAAAGTACCCGTAATTTGTCTCACTTCGTTGTGTGTCTCACTTCGCAGTAGGTGACGTTATTAAGTTAATTGGCGTAAAATAAAGATTGATGCGCTTCCGTAGCCCAGGCGTTCCGGGCTCATTAATTACTGTAACAATCCATACATGCACCCACCTTGTACAAGTTTGCCTTCCAATCGCCCTTGAGCGCGCAATTACTTATATTTCTCAGCGAATTGGCCTAATACTGAACTAACTCACTAAGTTAACTAAGTTAATTAACTTAGTTGTACTTTTGAAATGCAGTCCGTAGGCCAGACTTGTGATTTAGTCCTGTCACGACTCGACTTGGTCCAGCCATGAATCGATTTCTGAGATTTGTCGCACCTGCTCATCGATCCTAGGCGAAAGGTCAGGTAAATTTCCAATGAGGACGTTAGCGTAGTATAGATTCTGCATGCGATACGTTTTCAGAGATGGCTTCTTGCTTGCTGGGACTAAGGCGTCCGAGATGCATTAGATCGAGCAGAGCGTCTCGGGCGTTCTATAACTATTCAAAACTGCACTGCGGGGCATTAACGGTGCTGGAATCCTCTCTGCGACTTGGCATGTTAGAGGGAACTCCAAAACTGGAAAGTCTGAAGGTTATCTTGTTACCTGTGGGGAAATTTCCATGGTATGAAGCTACTACCTTCCATGTCTGACCTTTGTCCACACAAAATCCAATCTGGCAGCTTCCATATTAGTGCGTTGATCCTGGAGCACTAGCAGTGTATTTGTGGTCCGATAGCTGAACGTATGCGTCCCAGCCTATCTCCTAAGTGACCTGCGACGTGCCTTTTGTTGTATCTAGAAGATGGAGATGACTACGACAATCGCCTGGTGAGGGGAGCCTTGGCACGCCCTCCAAACCACAGCATCCAGTTGGAAAATTCAATTCATCTTCTACCTGTGCCTTCAAGGGGTTGGCTTTTTGAGCGACACCCAGAGGAGGCGGACACCAGAACGACATGTGGACTCGAGTCATGCGCACTAAGATTACTAAGAACTTGTGCAGCGTGTACAAAGTAGAAGTTAGACTAACCTTTCAAGCTAGAAGAACCTTTTCAGGCAACTTTCGGTAGATAGGAATTGACATATTGTAATTATTATACAAATACATGAATCTGCATGTAAATTAACCTGTAAGAGTCTACTATCTAGTTCCGAATGTTCGTTGAGCAGACAGAATATACGTCCTATTAGCTTCTTTGTAATTCCTTAATCGCTTACGACGAAATGTAAGGGCAATCCTGCTCTCGGACGTTGAAGCAATAAACATCTCCAGCCTTTCTAATGAGTTGCTGTGTGACCGGGTTGCGGCGAGCCTTTACACGAGGCCAATCGCTTCTTGAATAGGCACATGTAAGCCTACCATGGGGATGGAGTAGGAGTGCATGACGGCGTAGTAAACAATCCCAGGGTGCACGATGCTCTGGGTTGAGGACGTTAAGATGCTTGGGTTAGGTACAACTGGCGCACCTTGCATAGAACCATGGAAACCTACCCTGCGCCTACAGAGTGAGCAGCTACATCGGGAAGCAGTCGAGAAGGTGACGGAGCAATTGTAGTGCAGTAGCAGATAGTTGCCGCCTGATGACCTCTTCAGTAAGCAGGCTTTCACTTGCGGTATCACCGAATAGTAGTCTGAAACGGGTTCAGTCAGTAACTTAGGATCCGTTTCTTCTTATGTCGTATCGCGTACTGTATGCAGCCTCGGCATTGCCTGCTCTTATAAAGTTACACCATCCCCGCAGTATTCTTTCGTGTGGCGTAGAGCTCACATCTGTCCAACCCGGACGTCCGCCATTCTGCCGAACACTATCCTTGAGCGTTTTCCAGTCTTTCAGAAAAGGAGCATCTTGGGCCGATCCTGACAGAACAAGCAGGTACTCCCCGTAGGAGTGCTTAGCGCTCGCCATCGTGAACTTGATAGATGAGAGCTGGAAGGGTTAAAATAACCAAACACTGAAACAAACCGGAGGGTTTAAATAACATTGTGGGCCTTGCTAACATTCGATCCGCTACTGTATTCACTAGGCAGAAAATTGCGGAAGACCTCGGATAGATCGGATAGATCGGATACAACTTGAGATGCACGTGCCAATCTGTAGGTCTGCGAGCGTAAGAGCCGTTCTTCTTCAGCTACTAAAATTTTGGACGGAGCGTAGCATTCGAAGCAGCTACAGGAACCGAAGCAACATTCCACCTTGCGTAGAATCCACAATGACATGTAACCAGCTGCAGAAAGGCACCTTATATCGTATCATCGAAAATCATAGTCTAGAGTTCTGCCTTGAGTTCAGAATTTTACGTCTATAGACTATCGCCTTATAAAACTATTTCGACACGTCGGTGTGCAGGCATCACAATTTGATCTGATGCTACCAATCGCCATAGTTTTGTCCTGCCATCTCTACAGGTTGGGCAGTCTACACTAGTATCAAATTCACACGAATTTATTCCAGCCCACCTAAGGATACAGGTTTGACAGTACACGTGGCCTTAGATGTCAGCTAATACTGCAGAACTCAGTGTAAACTTACCGCAAATTAGAGCAACGCGTGTAGAGCTGTATGAGTCTAGGCAGATGGCACAAGTTAAGTTGTAGAGTCGCAGAGGTCTCTGCCATCCCAATCTCATGTGATCGGCATGTTGGCAAGGAAGGAAGGGCGCAACTCCGGCAAACTGTACGCAGTGACCGCAAATGACCTTCTAATTAATTAACTTAGACGATATTGAAAGTAATGAACTTACACAACGACAATTCTTCAGCACATACACAAGACCCGCTTTCCCACTCCCTTCTCCAAGCTCGATTGAACATATGGAACAGTGTTCTACCTCCGAAGTGAGGTCAATATGAAGCGTCCTTGCCACCACTCGAGACATTGTAGAATACAGAGAAGCTACGCAGATTGTCTGATTGAAGGCGTAACTTATATAGGCTAAAAATTTGAACAGCATCAGCCGAAAGATTCGGGATGCAGACCGCGCGCGGATATCCGGATGCTTACTAAGTTACTCTTGCTTGCAACTGCCCGGGGTGACACTAAGTCTACTCTCAGTCTGTTCTCGCTAGAAAACTTTGAATCTACTTGAGTAAGTTAAGTAACTTAGTTGTTGTATGTGGCATAAAATCTGTGCACTAAATCACAACTAAGTTCAGCTTCGATTGATAGCCCATTCTAGCAAGTCAAGGTATAGACTACTTTGTTCTCTGTGACAATCTCTTGCCGTGATTCAGTGTTCAACTGGCTATATGATATGCAAGGACTACGAAAAATAACTAGAACACTAGATTCAGTCAGGTTATCAAGCCAGATCAAGTCAGTGAAGGCGCTGCCTCTCAAAATTCTCTGTCGGTTTGATGAACGCTTCGACGGAAGGAGGTTCTTTGACTTGCAAGGCTGAGCGGACTGGCAGCACCGCACGATGTTTCTGGAGGGATTCAGCATGAAGTTCAGAGCTGTAGTTGCGCGTGCGATCAGATCTATCCTCGTTAGGACGACTAGCGTGGTGATAGTGATGAACCTCAACAAATAGGCTGCTAGTATTACTGCTGATCCTTGACGCTGTGCGTAGTAGGTCTTTGGTTTTGGCACATGTCCGTCTCGAGCAAATCTGCACAATCCATCCCTCATCATGTTGCGCGCGTCGGGCGCGGCCGGATCGGCATTTTCCACAAAGCGAACAACAACTCCCTTCAACGACGTAGTCCATACTGACAGAGCCTTCGCGTTTTAGTTGCTTAGAACCCGTAGGATAGCTGGAACAGTCCAGATGTAGAGGCTAAATCGAAGCTGGTAAGACCTTTAGTACTTCTAGGAATGCGTTGAAAATAACTTTGTCCAGGCAGCAGAGAATGGTGTTTTCATACCTGCAGTACAGTCACTAACAAACAAGGATTCACTTTTATGGGCATCGATGCTGTTTTGGACTGCCTAGATGACCAATAATATTGTCGAGAAAATGTTGACAATTGACGCTCAGCGGCGCTTAAAAGGTGGGAGTACGCAGAACTCACTAGATACAGGATTTGAGCTTGCCGCACTAGTCTCTACCTCTAATTTTTGCTTTCGTACCTCTGAACAATTACGCAGTATTGCGAGTTAACAATGGGGTGCTACCACAGGATTAGTAGATGCCATCAACAGAACGACTAACAGCACGTCCAACACCGCGCTCTCCTGAATTCAGGAAGACTGAGATAAGTGAGATATAGGAGAGCACGATGCTAGATGCTTGTCATAAATTAGTTAGTCTCCAAATAGACGGGCGTGGATTGGGATAGACGTATACGTTTTCATACATTACTTCATCTTCTTGACCGACGACCGATACTGAGAAGTAGTTTTGCATCTGCCTGCGACTCGATCATAGCCAATATTGGAATACACGTGCGACGTAAGTAAAGACGAGATTACATAAATAGTTAACAAAATTTTGGCAAAGGGCATAGCGCCCTCATTCACCATCGTAGACAGAAATGGCCAAATCAAATCCTATCCGCCCTTACATGTGCATGCACGTCTGAAAACATCTAAAGCGCCACTTGACGCGGAGCATATTCAAACTCGGATCATAAAGGAACTTCCAAAGCAGTCTTAGTTCAAAAGACTCAAATTAAGACTGCCACGTTGAATAATGTTTCGGTGTTACTACGCGGCCTTTTATGCAGCTTGTCAATAAACATTGATGTTGGCTTGCGGCGTAGACCGTCTAGTGTATTTTATCGCGGCACAGTAAATAACGAATAGTTAGAGGTTTTATTTCTAAGTCTTTCCTTAAATTCTACAGAGGGCACACGCAGGGTAGAGTGGTCTTATCCTATTCGAAAATGGAAAATGCACGAGTTCGCGTGAGACAAGCGTGCGACCGATGTCGCTGCAAGAAAGTGAAAGTAAGTACCGGGACAGTCAACTGATTTCATATGCAACGTTTTGATCTTTTCGTAGTGTAATGGGGCGTACGCTTGCGACAGATGTGTTGCTGAAAACACGATATGCAGTTACATGTCCGACAGAAGGCAACAAGGATCTACCTCCATGTGGGTAGCCTACTAGAATCAAACGTCTTCCGTATCACTCACGCTACTAGGGCGACTGTTCTTGCAGCCCAGAACGAACAATTGGGACGAGCTATACAGAATCTGTATGCATATGTCCAGAGTGGTAATAGCTTACCAGTGTTGAGCATTGGGGATGATGGCAAACCGTTGGTGCACGACATTGTCGTATTTGCCAACACTCTGCCAGACCAGGCACGCTATCTCGAAGGTAAAAGCCCTCAAGAGACCTTGCAATCAAGCAATTCTCTTGACGAAGTTTCCGCATGGGCACAAACAGAACCCTGGCTTGGCCCATCGCCCATGGCTTCCATTCCTGAGATGATGAACTCCACATTGCAGTCCCAAGCACAATACGAAGAGGAGAATCAAGCAGACGTAGAGGATATCTGGTCAATGGTTGATGTGAATGCTTCTGAAGCGGCAACATTGTATGCCTTTTTACAAAGTCTTAGGGCTTCTAGTTGATGTGTACATAAGTCGGGAGATGCATCATGCAAGGCCGGTTAATCTAATGCGATGTTTCTGGATTCCTACTTTTTCAAACTTTGAAAGCTCTTATGCAGTGTTTCGCCTTATTCTGAGTGCGCCTTCTCGCCTAGTTATAGGAATTGTGTTGTCGTATCTGGTCTCATCATATTCGTCAACGGATCGAGAGTACACTTCAATGTCCTCAAATTCCGTATGCGATGGTGAAATCGGATACGCAGTACGCTCTTCACTTGCGATCTGGATGTCGAGCCAGCTTACTTCAGGGGATTGCCACTCTAATAAGCCTCGTTGAGTGATATCTCTTCCATTTGCAGTCCCCAACTTAGCTTCGCTACGAGAATAGAAAGAGATTTCAGCGTTTGCTCGTTCGATGGCGTCGAGAGCGTCTTGGAGTTGTCGCCGATATCCTGGTTGGTTTCCGATAGCCTGGTCAAGCCGCGAACTGATCTCGTATAGACTGAGGCCCTTGAAAATGATCATGGTAGCTAAGCCGTACATCTCTTGCTGAGCATGTGCAGATTCCGCCATCGAACGTAACAGGATATATGCCACGTCTAGACGAAGGGCCGCACCCTTGAGCTTCAGGTGGCTCAAAGTTGGTTCGATAGGTAGTGGTTCGAACGAGAAAGGACAGCGATAGAATACATCCTTTAGAAATTGAACAAGTACGGTAGGGCCAAGAATTCTTGCCACCTGAAGAAGCATAGTAAGGTCTGAGGTCGAGATATTTGTCATACGTTCTGTCCGCGCATCGAAATAGAATCGGACTACTTCATAGATACTAGAAGTGCTGGGAATGTTGTAACGTCGAACGGCGTCGGCTATTTTAACCACGACTTCCAATGATACGTAGGATTGCGGTACAAAGTGGCCGTGAGCAGAGAGACAGATAAACCGGAACGCTACTGGATCTTCGCTGGGGAGCTCCACTGTTCTCTGTGACAGGTGATCTGGGTCGTTGAAGATCTGGCCGAACTTTGGCGATATGGCCGACATTCTCGAAGCAGAGACAAGAAATCGGTAGCCCTGGATCACAAGGTCGACATTTCCGTTGGGGTCTATCGGTATTCGAGATGCTGGATATACGGTCATCGTAGAAGTGAGGTGAAGTTAATTGTTGTGGATGCTTATGGCTGGTGGTGACTTATATATTGCACCTAGGTAGACCATGGCTCTCACAGCTGCCTACCGGGTGACAATCGGGGGCTTTCTTACTTGGTATTGGCTTGAGCTGGCTGTCAAGGAACGCTCAAGTCACCAAGATTTCCGCGGATAGCAGACCTTCGCCAAACACGGTAACTTGCGACTCGTGTCGTCTGAAAGAAGATAAAAATTACAATTTTGATTACGACGGACAGGTATAGACCTTCCGCGATGCCGGAGATAGCGTCCGCGGCATCCGAGGTGCCATCGTTGACGGCGCGTAGCCTGCCAATCAAACAGCCTTATAGCGACTTAGACTTTCGCCTACCTTTTGCCCCGCGCCACTCGGGCGAACGTATTGCTGGCGTTTGCGCACGCAGCAGGCGACACCAGGGTATCTGTCCAATGCGATTTGCGGAAAACCCCTGAGATGGCTCTTGCGGACAAAAAGCGCCGACAAAGCGTTCGTTGGGGGCAGTGCATGCATGTCGCTACGCGCTTGCCGTTTGCTTAGCACTGAATTACACCGAGACTTCCAGCGCTTTGTGCGGGCATGCCCTCACGTGCAAGCAAGATGTACGTTATGTGAGGCAAAGGATATACTGTACATTCGATGGTGACGGAAACTACGTGCGTGCTCAAGCTACAGATCTTAGGTTCTGAGGCAGACATGGCCTGAGCAGGTTATAATGAAGACGTGGGCATCATAGATAGAGTAGAGTACAGTCTTAGCAGCGACAACGAGGAACACTCGGCAGAACTTTAAAGTGCAATGGCTGATGCAACTTCAGCATAACATTCCGATAGACGGGGAGATGAAACTTTCGCCGGAACCGTTTCTCTTCCGGGGAACAGTCGGAGGTTCTCCCCAAACTTTTTACAATAACTAACTCTAAAATTAGCAGAGGATGCTAATTCCGTGATTGTCTACAGCTTGCACGCCGCTCCAACTTCTTACCTCTAATTACAAGAGTCTGTAGACGAAACGCACAATGGTCCGGACTCACTTCTACCATTAATTGAAGACTAGTCGATGACTAAAAAACTTTTTCATTTTTACTTGATACGTTGCTTCCTGCTTCTGTTCGCATTATAGAAGAATGCACTGATGACATAAACGATAAGATCTTAGTGAATGGCGAGGAGCTTGGAAACTTCGCGGTCATCGTGTAGAAGCTCCAAGATACGGATCTGCAACTCGTGCTTAGAGACCAAATGTCAAGGACAAGTAAGCCAATCGATCTGTCTCTTAGACCGAAAAAAGAAGGATTGGCTGTATTGATTGCGTAATAATTAACCTAGAAGCACTTTAAGCTTGATTCTACAAGGGCATTATCTATTAATTGCTTCTACAGTAGTACCTGTACGGAAACATTTATCTGTAGATTAGTATATCTCCAAATTAACTTATATGACTTCATTGACCTATTGATCTACTGTAAGTCACTCCATATTCAGGCTATATTTTGGGTTCGAAATGGCGTAACTCTCAAGCAGGCTAGTTCTTAGCAAACTTCGAAAGTAAATTCATTACTACCTAAGCGGTCTATCTATGAACAAATAAGCAAGAGACGAGCGCGCTTTCCAAGCTAGACTACGGCGCCAAGCAGTATCTTTTGCAACATACTCCCATCATAGGATGAACTGTCTATAGGTAGTTCCACATACTTGCAGAACCGGTTTTCACTATTGCCACCAAGCTTGCGCCAGACTTCGCCCGACCCTGTGCCCGGAAGACCAGCAAAGCACACTCCGTACGACCCCAGCCTCTCCGAGTTTTCTTCTGACAGGTGATGACTGATAATTTTGTGAGCCTCGGTCCTAGCCTTCAAGAGAATGTTGGTGTGCGCGCGTGGTATGGCTCCTTTGACAATTACAATCTTAACCTTTGAGTCAAACCCCCCCGCAAATGTTTCTTTGGCATCTATGATAGCTTGAAAGGCGACATTGCTTGACCCAATACGCGTTCCAGCACCGTAGGAGGTCGTTATAAGGTTCTTGTAGTTATTGATGGCGAAATCGAGGGGAACAGGTTCCATGTATCGTGGAAGCAAATCTCTAGCTTTCTGGATGATCGTGTCTTTCAGTGCTTCATCTGATACATCTTGTGTCAATTGGCACTTGTCGAAAACGTTTTCCATTGTCTCTGTCATCTCGTTGCTGGCCTTTCGTCTCTCGTCTATCATTGACCGCCTGAGCAATGTGTCAGGAAGTTTGCTTGTATCACAATAATTTTCATCTTCTGCCTGCGTGCGAGAGATTCGATATCCATGTGGTGTTTTCCAGAATGCAGTCTGCCAGTCACAGTCCCCAATGTGCACGCTTCCTTTCCGAACGAGATGTTCAACCCACATCTGTAGCCCTTCGTCGACACTCTGAATACCGGTCAACTTCAAAAGTACCTCCGTATCTCCTCTTGGATGTCGCAAGGGTAGATTCGGGAATATGACGGAGGCTTCCTTCGGTCTGACCCTATCAAAAACAAATTTTACTGCAAGCAGGAGATCGAGTTGAAGCGCCCAGCAATGCGGAAGATGTTCGTGCACGATTATCTGAAACGCTCGTTCTGTCACTTGCGCTTGGAATTGCCGATCTAACACGAGACTCTGTACGTCATATTTTGCCTGCTTTTCATTCATCTTCGGCGGCCTTAAACGTAACATAGAACTGGTAGATCCCATCACAGTACCGATCAGAGGATATTTTAAGTTTAATGTTTGGATGGCAAGATCTAGCGTCTACGATTTATATGTAACTTACCAACTTAACTATAGTGTAATTTTTCTCTAATTCACCCAACACAACATTGCTGCCAGCATGAAACCGCCTTGTCAGCTTCTGCGCGATTAATTTCTGCTCTAGCAGATCATGCAAGGTCGCAACCAGTAACACCACCAAATGTAGCACACCCAATCTTAGTATATATCATTGAGGTCAAAATCTCGGCGTGTCCAGTGCTCGTGTACGCCCATCCGATTGAGAACGCGGGACAGACATCATGCAGTACTTTCACATCACGCTTCTCGCAAAGCCAACCGCCAACAAGGATGCGCTCAAACTCTACATGCATGTTGCCTGTGGCAAGGACCTGGGCGAGGGATCCGGGATTAAGATTATGGACCATTCGGCCGTTGCCATCAGTGCAAGTCTTGAGAGCGTTGGCTTCGAGAGCAGAATCGTAAGTAAGAGGAATTAACCCCAGTGTCGCCCTCCATTTTTCGATGATGGACATGTAGTTGGAACTACTGAAAGGAACGGGGCTACTAGATGCTGCATAGGTAGGAGTGGTCGAAGTGCCGTGGTGGCTACATCTAGAAGAGACCCAAACCTCCGTCACAGTTGCCGGTCTTCTATTCACTGAACAGCTTGTAAAATCGCCCTTTACGCTGTGTACTATGACCAGCACAGTAGTTTTCACCACAGATTTAAACCAATGCATGTAGTTTTGGAGGATATGGGTAGCTTAGAGTCTTAGTAGCCCGACATGTAAAGCTTTATACTTACAGTACTACGCTCTCCTCGAAATAAAGAAGTCGCCGTTTCTTGCTATGGATAGTCGCTTCTGCTCTTGGACGCAAGTTGCGACAAATCTGTGGCGGCTACGGACAAAGTTGTTTGTGTCGCAGCTGTTCACACTTGCTCCTGCACCCACGACAATGCGTACTTTCCCGCACGCCTTGACACCACAAATATCATTGAACAAATTTTTTGAGCATGTTTCTCATCATCAGACGGCTTAGAAAGCATTACATTCTCGCATGGTCGAATCATAAGCACAAATTTGATTCGTTCGCAAGTGTCTGCCGATAAGTTCTTTGTCTGGCTAGGGCCCTGTACCGACCGATTCGACAGCCTGCGGCAGTAGACAGAAATTGTTACATTTTGTTCAGCTTGTTTTTGCTATTTCTGGCATATTTCTCGGTAGTGCTTCAATGTTGGCATCGCATGTGGGTAGCGCTGGCAGTGTCTTGACAGTATTAGAAAGTTTGCGATAACAGCATAGGAGAGATAGCCGGATTCCCGCGTACTGAAGAACTTGGTGTAATAAATCGTCTTCTGTCATCGCATGGCTACTTGCTTCTAGAGTAGCTTAGTTATCAGTGTGATCGCTAGTTTAGTCGAATTGTAATGCATGCAGTTCATTAGCTCAATCATTTGAGATTCACGCGAGCTGATAATAAGCTTAAATACTTACAGACCGCGTAGCGTCAACGACCCCTACGCAGCTGGAAGGACATTATAGCTGCGCTACTTTGCTTATCTTACACTAATCTACTTCTGCTAGGTTCTAACACTATAAATGCAAGTCGATGAAGTCGTCCCCATGCAAAGCAGGAATTAGCATTTAAGATCCTGAGCAGAGAAGACAAACCCTTAGCAACAAAACTTTAGCTGAAAAGTTGTGTCGCTAATCACCACATATCGCACTCTTAACCTAACTAGCATTACTGCACCTTAGAGCTGACACCATGGTTAGTGCCTTTGTAACAGTCTTCGATTGTGCTTACTTTGGAGCCAGGATACGACCCATGCTCTGCCAACTAAGAAGTACTTTAACAACAATCTGTTAAGAAGCACTAAATCTCTACTTCATGATGTTTGTGGTATATGCAGATCTGAGTACGATGACCGCAGTCACTGGCCCTGCCAAGTTATAGTTCCTTTATGCAAGCACGTCTTCGGGAAGAAGTGTATAGATCGACTCCTGCGCGAATCGAACAAATGTCCATACTGTCGCAGAGTCTGGTATAGACCTTTGATCACTTCTATGGGACCTGAGAATACTTCAGAGGACGATAAAGACTTTCTAAGCTCAGAACTATCACAACGTCTTTGTATTGATATCCCTTCTATGCGATACTATTTGTTTCGGGAGAGAGCATATAAAGAGCTTGCACCTCCAACAAACCTCTGCTGGATCGGAGAACATCTCCCTATTCTACAAAAGGTGGAGGCATTAATTGTTTACGATGAAGGCTTCATGGACGCGAATGGATGTTTTAGAGAACTGGAGCTGGAGAGAGAAAAAATACAGAGCATAATATAGAAGGTATAGAAGTCTTTAATCTAAGGTTCCTATAAAGTAGCAGATAGTCTATTGTTCTTATCCTATATATTATAGTTTAAAGAGTAGAAGGATAAGAGAAGCATAACTAATATAATATTCTACGCCTTACTTTTAGAGCTAGAGCAGCGTTTGCGTAAGATACTTAGTAAAGAGATATAGACTAAGAGAATAAAGAAAGAGGCTTTTAATACTATAGTGCTGCGCTAGCTAGCGTCTTTAGTCTTTAATACTTATTCTATAATATTCTTGCAATTATACCTTTTAGTTACTTAGGTTCTAGATTCTAATTGCTTAGTTTTAGAAGTATCTTAACATTAGTTTAAGATAGAGAATATCCTTTCTAAAAGTTTTGCTAATAAGATTATCTTTTATATTGTCTAAACTTAACAAATTACTGTAATTTACTACTATAACTTATCTAACATCCCTCTCTATATAGAGGAAAAACTAATAAGCTAGAAATAGCTAATTAGATACAGCGTTATACTAAGTTATATACGAATGCTATGCTTTTATTAGTTGTTTTCAGCTTATAGGTTTTTCCTCTATATAGAGAGAGATATTATCTAATTATTTCTTATATGCATAAACTTTTCAGACGAAATAAATATAACGCTATATTAAGAAAAATACCTCTTTATAACTTCTTTCCTCTAGTTCGTTTCTTATCAAGAGTAGCTCTAATACTTATTATTCTTAAATTTTAACTCTATAAAGGTTATAGTCTTATATACTTATAGCTTCTATTTTATATACGCTGCTTAACTATTATTCTACGCTTATCTCTATCTTGCGTAGCGTAGGCTTTTTCTTAATTACTCTAGCTCTTATTAGCATACTCTATAGAAACTGCTAGGCCTATTACTTATTTGTATTAGTAAGCTTTATATAGCGTAACGTATTTTACCTCTTAGTTGTTAATACTACTTAGTCGTCTACTCTACTAAAATAGTAATAACTCTACAACAATTACTTAATAACTATATAGTATTTTTATATAAAACTATATAGGTAGCTAGGCAATTACACTATATATTAATTTATCTTATAGCTCTATACGTAATATCTGCTGCAGGTAGATAGTGCTTGCTGCTACGCTAGAGCTAGCCTATTATAATAAGACCTACTACTTACTATTTTAGCTATAGCATCTAATATTCGGCTCTATTTAGCCTATAACGCGCCTTCTCTAGTAATATACTATCTGCAATTATCCTGCTGCTATCTATACTAAGTATTAAGAGCCTAGAGCTTATAGTTCTCTTCTGCTAGTATAGTTGCTAAGTCTATAGTAAGCTAATAACCTTTAATAAGCTAGGAGATAGCTATACTTATAGAGCTTTAAGAGTAGTAATAGAGTAGCTTACGTATAAGCTAAGCTTACTACTTAAGCTAGAATATTATATAAGGCGTCTCTGCTATCTACGTAGCGTTACTAGTAGCTGCTTAACCTAGTAGAGATAGTATTCTAATAATAGTAAGACTCTCTAGTACGTGCTCTAAGCTGTATAGAATTAGGCTAGTAGCCTAGAAGCTACTCTAGATGCTCTGCTAGAAGAATATAGCTAAGCGTATACATAGATAGATATATAGAAACTCTAACTTATTAACGTAGTATACGCTCTAGCAGGCTAGCTCTGCTACTTTATATCTATACGCTTTCTTAAGAGAAGAGAAGTAGATAATATTAAGTAGCTATAGTAGGTAGCTTATATAGGCTAGCATATAAAGTATAATAATATTGTTCTCTATATAGTACTAGTTAAACTTAGGCGTATAGTAGCTACTATAGCTATCTAGAATTAGCAGCTAGTATATACTTACTATTCGCGTAGCAGTATATCTATTAAAGTGCTGTAACTACTTAAAGCCTAGCTTATCTCTAGTCTAGCTATTATCTAAGATAGTAATTACCTAGCTATTAGATAGCTCTATATACTAGCTGCGTTAGTAGAGCTTAGCAGCTAGAATAATTAGTAGTAGAATAGCCTATCTAGACGCGTTAATATACTCGATTATTATAACCTAGTTCTAGTTACTAGGCTGTATAGTTACTGCTCTACCTATTAAGTCTAAGCTTATAACTATCTTAGACGTAGCAGCAACACCTATTATAAAGCTAGTCTTATTAAAGTTATATATATCTGCATTATATATACTATACTTCTAGCGCATAGCCTATACTAGCTTAAACTAAGCCTATATCTTAACTAGGTTCTTATAGCAGGCGCGCTAGCTATAGAGCTTCCTATCTTACTTTGCCTAAAGCTTAGACTAGCTCTTAACAAAGCGCGATATCTAGTTCTTGCTAGTAGAAGGTAGAGATAAATCTTAGCTACGTGCAGTAAGTAGAGCATTAGCTATGCAGTATACGTCGATAATATATAGTAGAAAACTATGCTAGTTAAGGCTAAGAATCTACTATATAAGAGTCTCTTACTTAGCTTTATCTAGCTTCTATCTGTAGGCGTATATAGCAGGTCTAGGCTATTATCTATAGAGCTAGTTAGAAAGCATTATTCTAGAGACGCTGTATAGCTTAGTAAGCTAGTATAGACTTTTTACGCGCCTAGTCTTATGCGCCTAGACTGCTAGTGTCATGGTTTGGAACCTTGGTGTTCTGAGCACGGACCACGCCGGCGCCTCGGGTGCCGAGGCCCCGCTGCCCCACACATGTATTTAATTCTACCGAAGTTTCTTAGAAACTCGGTACTGCAAAAACTTTGTAATTCAACACAGTTTTAAATATCTGATCCTGTGAGACCCTAACACGTTTTTGCAGTCCATTAAACGCCTCTGACAGCAACCTGGCGTCCTTGGCCAGTTGCTCCTAACCTGACAGCGCCTTAACTGCGCTCTGACAGCGCTCTAACAGCGCTCTAATAGCAACCCAGCGCGTGCGGGCTAGTTGCAGATCCCCACAGTTCCCGCGACACGGTAGACCAACGCCATGTCCACCCAGTTCCCAGACGGCAATGCCGCCGACGCGCCCCATGTGGGAGACGCCTCGGGCAGCGACGCCAACCCTACCGCCGGTGCAACGATCAGCCCCGGTAAGAGCGCGAGGTCTTTCGCTAGACCTACCGTGGCTTCCACCGCCCGCAGCAGCGCCTTGCCACGCGCTACCGGGTCCGCCAACTTACGCCAAATCAGCAACCCAGCTGTACCTGGCGCCTTCGGAAACGAGCAGCTAGAGCAGCAGGGCTATGA